CACACACACACACACACACACACACACACACACACACACGCACACGTACCGTTCACGCACACATACACACATACAGACGGGGTATCTAATTGGTGTTTCTGAAAGAGCAAGAGTCACCTGCGCTCACCACGGCCGTATACTCTCGGCGCGTTTGCGGCATGTCCGCTTGTCGGGGAACTCTGGCGTCTGCTACTGCTACACTATCGAGCCGGGCGGCATGTCCGCCTGTCGGGGAACTCTGGCGTCTGCTACTGCTACACTATCGGGCCGGGCGGCATGTCCGCCTGTCGGGGAACTCTGGCATCTGCTACTGCTACACTAGCGAGCCGGTGTACTACATCATCGGCGCCAGCAGCAGGGCGGCCGTAGAACCTCTTGTCCTCGTCTACGGGGACCTAATGAGCGACACAGTCCAAAACCCACTTGCATGACGCTCTGGCGCACCGAAGTTTCAGAATAGTAGCGCAAGGAAACATCAAGACGACAAACTACCGCGTGCCAGAAGTCCATGACATTGAGCTCATGAAGGCAAAGTATGACCGCCCTGTTTTCTACTCGTTTTATTCAAATTGTTACCTGAATGGTTAATCCATCCACGTTGCCGCGACATCTAGGCCTGCCAAGTGTCGTTAGGTTGATTAATGGACTGCCCAACAATAATGCAGTGTTAGCATGTACCACGAACAAAACAACAATGTCGTGTTAGCATGCACCACGAAGAAAAGCTCAACTAAAAGTAGCGTATTGCATTACGAGCGTATTTGAGCACAGTATGTCATTTGCGCCATCTGAGCAGAGTTCGGCGCAGTCTTCGATCTCTTTGCTACTGTTTGGCTCACCCGAAAACTAAGTCAGGGACCAACTGGAACCGTCCACCGACTGCCAGGAACCCTCAGAGGCCGTGTCGGACATGACCACGTAGACAGGCGTGCCCTGCCAGAAGTGGCTCTACGGGATGAGCCAGGTGTTCATGTTGGAAATGACGGCGAGCTGGGCGCCCTCCTGCAGCGCCGCGCAGTGCTCGTCTGCCGCCTGCCAATTGAGCCGGGTGGAGACGTAGAGGTAACAGTGGTTGTCCAGGCCGAGCCAGCCGTGCGGACGTGGTGAGCCCGTGCGGCAGCCGAATGAAGACTCGCAGATGTATACCGGCAAGGTGTCCATGCAAAGGCAGACCCCAAAGGCAGCCCCCAAAGGCAGCCCCAAAGGCACCCGACAGCCACATTTGATTCCCTGATCTCGTACATTGACACAGCCCTGACAACTGACGCTGACAACTCACGTGTTGGAGAAGAGCTCGCACGAGCCGGTCGCCTGGCGAGTGAAGCCGTGACAGGTCGGCTGGCGGTCGCAGGAGACGGCGCAGCTCACGAGAGACAGCGCCACGGCTGTCGACGACGGCGCCACCGAGATGACGCCCGAGCGGTGGCCGTACAGGGCGCTAACGAGCACAGCGCCACAGCAGAGCACAGCGGACAGCGTCTGCACAGCGGCCATCCTGCCGGGAGTGTCTTTGCTGTTTGTGGGTTGATGGAGCGAAGTGAAGGAACCGCGCGCTGTGTGGTGTCCGTTGCTACGCGTCGCTGCACTGTTAATGGTACCTACTTACCAAGCCTGTCAAGAAAGTACGCAACGCGACGAGGCGCGACATTGGCGTCACGCACATGCATGGGAACCTTCACTAGCTAATATATAAGGCACGAGGCGCAACAAAACTCGTGTTCCCTCCTTGGAGTTTGTACAGTAGCTATCAGCAGCATCTGGGAAAATGTGTCTGGCCGGAAAGATTTTTTGCAAACCCTAACTCCTACCGCATACAAGAATGTTCAGTTACATGTGACATACCGGTTTTGGACTCCAATTTTAGTGTCTTGGGCAATACATATTCCTCGCTTGTTTTTGGAATATTGGGCTGTGGGACCTATGGAGGCTGCGACGCCTGGCGGCGAGGTTTTTGTTGCTGCATTTAGTGGCGTGCGCGTTCAACACTACTTTACACGGTTTTAACTACCAATCGATTCTGACTGAATGCTGAACATTTCTAGACAAGCATGGCTTGGCCACGCTTATGCAAATTGTTGACCCATTTCTGTCTTCAACTTACAACCGCGGGGTCCTTAATATCTCCGTCGAACCCGGATCAAAATTCTGGCAACACTTCTGAGCCCTATCGCTTTAGAAAGGGCCCACTGGAGGATTGTGAAATGGAGAGCGCCGGCGATATTATTTCACGCAGATGTTTAACACGTGATTTTTTCTTCAGTTTGTTGACTACGAAATCCAGTCAGAATTGATTTCGTAATTGCTCCTGACTTATGTTCCAGTAAAAATCTATCAGTAAATAAATAACGAGAAACGACTCAACCTCGTGAACAAACGGGCCATATCTGGCGATTTGTTTTTTCACTATCATTAACAGGAGGCCCTTTGTCAAATTTGTTCCCCCATTTTATCTCTGTCTCTGTTTACTGTTCTGTCTCTGTCTCCGTCTCTGTCTCTGTCTCTGTCTCTGTCTCTGTCTCTGAGTATCTGTCTCTGAATACGCCCCCGCATTCATCCGGCAACCTCTTGTACTGTTAGAAAAGCTAACGGCAGAAAATCAGTGTTGCATGATCGATGGATTAGTTACCTCACCCCACCCCCCTTCATTCCTGTTAGGTCCTAGGGATCTAGCTGACTCTGCTTGCCAACTAGAACTGTGATTTCCTCAATTTGTTATACTTCGGAAGATGGCACTCTGTTCTGCACACCCTAAATCTTAGACCCGCATCGGCCAACCGGGAGATATCAAAGAAAATCCGTAAAAGACGACAGCTGAGAACTTTAATTTTTATGCTGAGGTGAGTACCTAACAATTTGTGTTATGTCAAGCCAGTTTTATCGAGCCTCACAGTGCTAAGGTGGTCAACATTACAGTTGTTCTGCAAAATTTTGGCATGTTTTGGCAATTGCCATGATTTCCAGGCTTCTTCGGGCCACACTGGCATGGAAAAGGGGAAAGTGGGGGGGGGGGGGGGGGCAGCACGGGCTGGCCTTTAACTCTAAAAATCGTGTGTTTTCCTATGGGCACTGACTGGATATAAATTATCAAAACCATTTGTTGACCCTTAATTCAAGAGAATTCCCATTGTCCCTGCTGAACCCCTATCTGCGTAGGCCCGTAGAACGCTAATTTCCTGCCAGAATGAAAGTATGTTATATGTATGCGTGGATGCATTCGTAGAAATCTCCTCAACGCGGTTCTTCTGATTACCGAGTCGCTACACGTACCACACGTAGCGACGACTTCAGCATGTAGTTAATATCCAATTTACGCAATAGCATACCACTTTCAATAAAGCAAAGCGCCTAGGCCGCACGATTCGCACAATCAGCCTGTAACCAGCCCGGCGCTTCCGCTCAAAAATGCCTCGATGCTGGGGACCTAGCATTTGGCGCGGACCATTCCGCGTCCAAGGGGCGCGGCACAGGAATGGTCGGTGGGCGAGTTCAGTTCGGACACACGGACTTTGTAACAGAAGGGTTTCAGAGCTTCGCGTGGATCGGGCAGAGAATATTGAAAAAATAGCTTGAATAACTTTCAAAAGCCCGGCTATCTTTTTCTGCATAGGAGGGTATACTTGTGTAACATTGATGCTGTTAATTTGTGGACGTAGCTGCATCAGCACAAGATTGCGAACAAATTGCATGAGGCATAGCTATGACGGTGCTCGGAATGAGCAGTCCGAAAATGGCGTTTGTACTCTTAACATCTGTTGACAACTTTCAGTTCCGAGACCATGCACGTGTTCAAAAGTGATCCAACGGTTACCATTGTCGACGTCGAGTGAAATCAGCCCGCATCAATTTTCCCGGCTCATCCGCCCAGGAAAATTTCTGGTGACTCTTTTCACGTTGAATACAAACGCTGTCACTCTCTTATTAATTGCACACTCGAGCGTTTCCCTTCCATCGAGCTGACCGTTGCGTGTCATCGGTTGGATGCAACCCGCATCTGGACCGCAGGTCTGAAAAAGTCTGTGACCGTTAGGGCGATAATTATGCCAACTGTTTATAAAAGTTCCTCATGTTGGACACAAGGCATGGCGCAGTGATACATTCACGGCATAGCGCGGTGTTGGAATATGTGACCAGCCATAGCTGTTTTAACACGCGGACGGGTGAGGGGTTAATTTGACCTCGCCCCGAAGGTTTTCCAGAAATAGTTTCCGAGAGGCGCGGCGAAGCCACGCCAAATTTTGCATAGATATAGGCAGTTGAGTAGTGGATTATTTGGTGTCGAATACTTAGATGTACCTTGTAAGGGCGCTGACTTACGACAGGTCAAAGTTAGGTCATTGATTCAGCGAAGTCAATTTCTAGAGAATCTTTCAATCTGATGCAGCATTAGAGGGTAAGACGAAAAGCGTCTAACACAAAGCAACGTCGTATGATTTTGGACAGTGCCCTTTGAAAGGTCAAATAAAATCACTGGCCTTGAAATAACTTTTTTTCTTAAAACAAGTAGCTTAGTTCTAGGAGCACTTCGGAGACCAGCCTGGAGTTGAACTTTTTTACCTTATTTGACCCGAAGGTCATGACCTAAAAACCTCAAAATTTGACCTAAGTGAGTCCACTTAAAGACCAACAGACGCTGTGAGTTTGGTATTTCTAGCTCTCTTACTTCCTGAGATCTCAACGGGCTCAAACTGACCTCCACCCGAGCAAAGGGTATCCAACCGGCCACCCGGGCGCGTGTTAAACCCAGGTATGGCTATGAGACGCACTAACATCTTGAGAATCACTAAGTGGCAAAGAACGGCTTACAATTACTCCAAAACGATTATTGAAAACCCGTATTGTGATGCCTTCCAACACGTAAAGACCCTGGGAAATCCCCGCTTGTGACATCACCGTGGGATTGCCAGACCTAGTCCGACTGGTTCCCCTCCCCCCCCCCCCCCTTGTAATGACTCCGGAACGCCCGCTCTCTAACGACCCGCTCAGACCGCGCCGAGGCTCCTCGTCCGAAGGCGCCGCGGACCAGCAGCGCCACCCAGCCATGCGACTTCTCTGCCTACTGCTCGTCTTGAGTGTGCTTGGAACGCCGGTGTCCGGTGAGTTCACGGTTAATGCCAATGGCAGCGCGCGTGGCCGCTACGCCGTGAAATACAGGTGTATGAATGTGGACTCTGACTTCTCGAAGGCCAGTGTATAGTTTGTTACCGGCGAGTTGATTTAGTGCAGTCTGCTGCTGTCAACATCGAATCTCGCTGGTTGTGTAACTTGTGCTATCAACGTTTGATGTAATGCATTGTGTTTAACCATGGGTGTTAACCTAATTTATGCCTAAAACCCCATTTCTCCACGGATTTCGGTTACTTGAATTTTGTCCCCGATGATGAAATGACAACTTGTTTCATATCTTGCGGGCTCAAATCGCTTTTCTGTACAGGAATGACCTACCATTTCAAGTTAATGTGACCTGTCTTATCGTTAAACGCCTAGAATGTGGTGTAATTCAAAGAAAAACACCTTAGTAAGTCTTAATAAGGTACCAATGATGACTGCTTCTGCCGCTGATCTTGTTATATAACCACCAAAGCCACGGTTATGCGACAAATACACTTGCCACTGTTGCGGAAACATGCTTTGAATTTATCTTGGCCAGCCCGTGCTTTGAAAAGCTGCCGCATATTGCAGTCAATCGTGTGCTTTCCTTTTTCAGGTATTACCATTTGAAAACTTACCCAACATTTGCAGACTGGCTAGCATGACGAAAACATAACGTACCACCCTACAGGGTACCAGTCGGTACAAAATGAACATGATATTGGTGATGATGTGTTTAGGTAGCTACGACCTAGTATGCCAATAGTAAAGATAACTGCTCCACATTTATTTGGCCCAGCATTCCCGCTTTGTCCATACGCATTGGGGGGGGGGGGGGGGACTCACAGATCATTGAGGAAGGATCAGGTCAGCATTGGGGGATCAGGGTCTCCCCGAAAGTATGTAAAGTGCCACCCCTGCATGCAACGCTCGTTGATATATGAGCACTGCTATGGTATTCAGGTATACTTTTAGGTATCAATATACATGGTGCATTCGTACGTATTTCATTACAGGTATTGCTGATACATGCATGCGTTCTGATTTGCAGGGGGAGGGAGCTTCCCTCCTTGCCATCCACGAGATCCCTGTCCAGCAAATACACGCTGCTGTCGCGTCACGTGGAGTTCCGTATGCCTCTGTATGCCTGGCGGATGCGGCATGCAGGGCCAATGCCTCGCCGGGGATAGACGGCAATGATGTTTACTGAAGAAGACCTTTAGATCCCTTATATGTGAGCCACATTTATGTTCTGAAAGACCCGAAAATATACAAGGAATCAATACTGGCGTTTCTGATCTCTACTGCCCAGCTGGAAACGGATGCTACGGCTTGATCACGAGGGGTTTTCATTGGGAATATCGTGAACAGAATGCGCGGTTGCCCGACAGGGATCGGAATGCGCCGGTATATTGCGGTCACGAATGAAGAGCACGCATCCCTGGCAGGGGTGGAGAAAGCGTGACGGCAGTGGTACCGCATGACAGGTGTAGCATAGGCCATCCTAACGTCAGAGGTCATCGGATGTAAACGCGCCAAACTGAATGACAAGCCATATGCCATAAATAAGATGATTTCAAGAGAACCAGACACGTCAGGAAGGTGCTCAGAACAGGCATGATCAATCGCATGCCAATAAACATATCTAAACAAAAAAAAATGTCAAAATGTGTGACGAGCTTTAGGCATTAAGCCATCTAAGAGTTACAAGTTTTCCATTTTTCTAACAACATTTTCAAATGTACGCAAGCGCTCATTCGTCTCGGCATTGCTATCAATGTCATTCGGAAGATAGCATGTCATGACGAACGGCTTGTGAAGATATAACATGGAGACACCGTTTACAATGAAATTAGTCCAAACGTTCATCAAAAGAATGGCTAAGGTCCGACTCTTCATTCCAGCTATCAAGACACTGCAACATCATGCTGTAATGATAACAAAACAACATTATGTTAAGAATGTGTACCATTAAGGAAGTGTCTGTCGCTGATCACCCGAATCCATGAGCGAATGAGTTGACGTGAACTTAACGTTCTTAAAGCAAACGGTCATTTACATGTCAATCAAAGAATTGAAATAGCCATCTTGAAGACCTTTCGGTGTTGTTCACAATCCTGCTCCTCTAAAGGCATAAGCCCTCCTAGTTTCTGAGCTACACGGCCGAGAAAATTGGGGAGTATTTCGGAGAAAGTATTTTCAAAGTCGCCTTGGCATTCATGACGTCACATTAACGTCATTCAAAATCCTGTCAATCCATAAGCCATGCGGCGATCGGGGCCAAGGAAATTATGGTTGCTGAGGCATTCATATCTGGCGTTCGTGAGCTCAATATCCAGATATAACGGCTGTCAATTGGCTCTCAATCAATGTTGTGTGATGTATGATGACGTAATCTAACCATGACGCATTGAGAGGCATATTTACTGAACGGAGAATTACGTTGTCAGTGGAGTAATCTTCCCCCCCCTAGAAAAGTATACCAACAGTTAACAGTGGGCTTGTTTCATCACATCTGGCGCTAGCTTCGATAGTTTCAAATGCTGAACAATCTAAGTTATTGAATCGATAGTGGGTGATTTCTTGTTTATTTACAACTTCCGGCTTGGTAAATAAATGAAATGTCAGTCAAAGCTAACAACATTCATTTTATACTGGAAAGGGCTATAAACCTGTAATACTGGTAAGAGTAAAAGATTGATATGTACGAGGGATAGTGAGTGGGTGAGTGGATGAGTGACTGGTTGGGTGAGTCAGTGAGTGAATGGGTTGACGGGTGGATGAGTATGTGCGTGGGTGAGTGAGCGAGTGATGATCGAGTGAGTGAGTTGGTGAGTAAGCGTTAGAACGTATGTATGCGTACTTGAGGGAATGTTGGAGCGGGTTATATGTATATATATATATATATATATATATATATATATATATATATATATATCATCGGATTTTCCATGCTGCGCACGATCTGCAATGATGACGCAATCGCAGCAGTAAGCACAATGACATTCAACTTTTACTACTGGCCCTGGAAAATAGCCGCAGTTATGCGATTCTGTCGCAAATCATACGATGAAAGTGTTTAAACAAGCATAAAATGCGTCAAGCGCAAGTCATGTTTTTGTCACGGCCTAAAGGTCGAGCACAGAGTCAGTTTCCCGAAAAATATACTCATTCAAGCAAAAGTATTTTTAAAAGCTCCCACCTGAAGAAGAAGCTTTCTCATCTGAAGAAGAAAGGCTCATCATCTGAAGCTCCCCATCAAAACTCCCCATCATCGAGACAAGCATCAGCTATGATGAAATAAGCTCACCTGTACCTATTGGTGTTTTTATGCGCAGAGGAAACTGTTCTAGACAACAAAGGTTCACTTTATAGTAAATACAAATCAATACGTCGTCGTGTGAATGAGTCATGGAACGTTTTCATGACGTCAGAGAAGCTTTCAAATTGACCGTGCGAAATTCGTATCGTAGCGGACGGGCTGACTCTCTCGTGGCGCTTTAACTCCTCGAGAGATGTTGTGCTATCGGCGCTTTGTTGGCTCACATAATTTCGTAATTTTGTGTTGTCTTCTTGTATACATGCTCGATGATGGTGCTATTCCGAAGTTAGTTATTTCCAGTCTTATTTCCGCCATGTCTAGTCCAAATTCCTGCATGTGGTGCAATGCGTGATCCGTGTTCGGCATTTGCACTGCGCGCACAACATTCTTATATACTCAAATGAAATCCACCTTTGTCAGGGACCGTGCTGATGCATGCCAGGCACGAATAACTCGGCCATTATATTTATATTGTCATTGAGCACCGCATGACCATTAAGGTGGTATTGTTTGCGGGACGTTTCAATGACGTCATGCATGCCAGGTTGACCTTGGAAGAGTTCACGAAATAGCCTACACAAGTTCGCGGGGTCTATCCCAGATCTCTGTAAGTTGCGGGGTCCATCTCAGAAATAGAGGCTTTTAAGCCTTGTGAAGGGTAGGACCGTGAACTGCACCGAATGATCTTTAAAATGACTATCTCAGTTCAAAACCTCATATAAATGTGGAACATTCCCTTCTAAAGTTAAAGAGACTGATCCCTTAAGGTAATCTTAAAAGTGAAATGAAGGTTCCACATTTGTAAGAGATTTTGAACTGAGATAACCATGTTGAGGATCTTGCAGTGCAGTTTACAGCTCTTTCCTTCCTAAGATTTAAGCCTTCTGGTCTCTAAGCTAGACGCCCGCGAACTTGCCCAGAATAGTTTGTGCAGACTGTTCCAAGGTCACCCAGGCATGCACGATCGCATAGAGACGTCACGCAAATACTCTCACCCCATTGGCCATTTCGTGTTCAAGGGCAAGATAAGTATAATCGCCAAGTTATTCGTGTCTGACGTACATCAGTATGATTTCTGGCACAAACGGAGTTCGATTGGCTATAAATCAATCATAGGCACGCAGTACAAGTTTCGAACACTAATCACGTTTTGTCTTACATAATACAGGGATGTTGTACAGTGGTCCTGGTTATGACGGAAACAAGATTGGCAATTGAATGGCCTAAGAATAGCGCCTTAACCGAGCATGTGAATACAAGTAAGCAACATAAAATCACAGATTGATATACAGGAACACTACGAGAGGGCCAAAACACGCGTGTATAACGATATATGAGTTCTGCCATCAGCGCACTGGTACCACAATATCTCTCGAGAAGTTGAAGTGCAAGAAGTGAGTCAGCCCACCTGCTGCGATAGGAAGTTCGCACGGCCAGTTTGACAGTCCCTCTGACGTCATACGGATGTTCCATACCGCATTCGAACGATGACGTATCGAGGAGCATGCTTGACAAAAAAGGGTTATCGGTAACCGCGGAGAGGCTTTCTCCTTCCGCCAATTGCCATGTGGCGAATAAGAAAATCAGACGCACTTGGAGCTCAAGACCAGGTACTTACCATGTGTTGAGGTCGTACGTCTGAGCCAATCGGGCAAGGCTGCGGGAGCTGGTATACGCATGCTAAGAACGATAATCAAAAGCCTCATCGGGTATAAAATTAGGCAAAAAAAAAACAGGGCATACGGTTCACTCTTACGGCCTCCTCGAGGTCAGTTCTTTACATTAACGCATGTCACAAACAATCAAAATTTCAAATCCCATGATAAGGGGACGTAGAAGGGTGTGGGGGAGGCCATCACGATGAAACACATGTGTTCAGGTCTGCTCTGCAGTGACGAATGGCCCATGATTAAACAATGTGTAGAGCAGCCGCATCTTTGTAAGTAGGCAATATTTTGAGGGCGAGTTTTTCGGGTGAGGTGGTGTCGATGGAGTGTGTTTTAAGAGTGCGATCACCGAGAGGAGTTCCAAAAGCTTTGTTTCCGCGTCTGGGAGATGTTCGTTTCATCTTGTTCGTGCATAACGCGTTGTCTCACAGATGTAGGAGGTCTTTTATCAGGGGATGAAATTGACAGGTAATCCGGTAGATAGCGTCGCGCATCGTACACATGCCCGCCACTACTGCCCAGCAGGCGTCACGCGTCCGCTTATCCGCGGGGCAAACGGGGAAGCGCCAAAGGCAGACCGAGCCGAAAACTAGTCTTCAAACGTCTGTCCACTTCTCTGTGCCACTCAAACGCAGAGGCCCGATGAACTTTCTACAGCTTTAGTTAGATTGTCTACGACTAAAGCGAGATGCATGTTTCATTGTTCGGTGAATGTGGGGTGTTGTTGTTTCCAATTTCCATGCCAGCGTGATGTGATGCACGTTTTACCTTGCGCAGAGGGCAGTCATTTTCGGCGGAGGTGCTCTTACCGTTATCGTTGCTCGTTCCCCGCCACAGTACTTGAACCAAGGCGTTTCATTCGCAGCAGTTCTGAATGGCGCGTCAAGTGCTTTATTTACATGGGGTGCACAGAATGATAAAGGAGTATGTTAGCTGCAGTCTAGGATGGCAATCCCTTCATTGGTATTTGATCATTCGACCGTGAGGCTGAGGGCTCTCTACCTCCTAACGGGAGAAAGTGCGCGTCAGTTCATCACAGGCCTGTACTACAAAGCCATGGCTGCACCTACCATCCGCCAATATCATTCTGCACGTGAACAACACGTAATTTATGATTTTGCATTCTATTTGAAAAGTAATACATGCTTCATATTTGAAATTGGAAATTTTATTTCTGGTAGAAGGTACTGTATAAATGCATGGATTGCGATAAATTCTTTCACCGCGTCTAACAGCGCGCACTAAGTTTAATGCGTAATCTGTTCAGGTTCTTATCAATACACCAAGAAAAAGATAAGATTTGCAATGCGGTACATTCTGATGAATCTGCATTCATTAGGTACCTAAGGCAATACGGTGTAAAAAACGATAAGGGTGGGTTTGCTACGACTGTGGTGTAGAAAATGCGTGTGCTATAAACTGGACATCCACATACCTAGTTACTTTTAACACGCGCTCGGGTCAGGCATCAATTCGACCCCTCCCCCTTTCCGAAGGTCTTCCAAAATAATTTCTGACCGGTGCAGCGTAGTCGCTTTAGCATCGGTAGGTGCACAGCTATATATGACAATCATACGTCTTTATGGAAAGGTTAACATTCGGCTGCCTTCAAGACAAAGTGTTAGCGCCGCTATGCCGCGCCAAACTTTGCATAGCTGTAGCTTTGCAATTGAATAACGGATCCTAAGGTATAGAAATTTAGACGCACACCGTCAGGTCACTGACCTATGGCAGGTCGAAGTTAGGTCTTGACTTTCAGTAAAGACATTTCCTGTAGAACCGTTCAAGCTGATACGACAAAGCAAAATTAAAGGGAATATACCACTTTTTCACTTTGTCTCTTCAGACGCGTACGCTTTGAGCAGTTATGCCAGTTTTCTCGAAACCTTTTTGACTAGCTTAGAATCTCTATTTGAAATAGCCGAGCGTTTCGTTGAATCCCACGAATTGAACGAAACGTTACACCATCGCTTTGATTTCTCCCCTTTGGCGTTCACCACAGTGGCCCTATTCGAGGCGCACTTTGGCTTTGGGAATGGGAGTATCACATGATCCAATGTGGCGTGCTGGTTCAAGATTCAACCAACGTGGAACTTCTCGGTAATAGGCCCTCGCCCGCCTGCCCAATTATTACCGCTCTTTTAAACGCACCAGTAGAGGTGTGCACGGTCATGACGACGGCGGTCGCGAATACCGGGAAGAATTGGGGTGTTGCTAGAAAACATTGACAACGCATTTTAGACCCCAAAATAATTAAAATTAACATCCTTATGTTGTCTTGACGATGCTATCGCGGTACATACCAGGCATACGCATGCGTCTAATGATAGCACTACCTAGCGCTATTATCAGACTTAACTAGTCCTGAGGTTTCACTAGAGGTGTTCGAAATATGACCCAAAGGTGGGGCGTTCCCTTTCAACGAATCTATAAATATCTGAGCTGTTTCTAAGACAAGAAGCCAGTTGTAAGGATTACGACTAATTCTACTAAACTTGAGTCAGTATAAAGGTCGCACAGAATCAAAATCCAACCTACTTTTTCACTGAAGAACGTGCTTCAACGAGTAGTTTTTCATGCTGCTTTCGAATTTCTTGATCACAGGGACATCAACAGACATCTTGTCTGCACCCCTCGCAGGTCAGAGGAGGTCACTGACCTAAAATGACCCATATCAACCTTTTTTCTACCGGTGCGGGCAGCAGTTCCAACCGGCGTGACCTGAAATGAACACCAGTGAAATTGTGCTTAGTACTGGTGCCTACCGTTAGGGCGGCTGCATGAGGAGGTCTGGATGTGCTTCGGATAGCAATCTGGAGTTTGACCTTATTTAACCCAAAGGTCAACAGCCTTTTTGACCCAATCTATCCTAAATCATTTATTCCAGACTAAAATCCAGACTTCTGATCAAAACCAAACTTGCCCGTATTCTTGCCCCTAAAAGTGTGGGGAAATTGTCGTGTAATGATGCATAAAAATAATACCAACACTATTATTGATGGTGCGGTTCATCTATCCGAGCTCAACCATTCATGGCTGACTTCTAGGCCACCGGTGATTTATTTGGAGAGAAGAAAGTTAGCAATGTGGCAGTCAACAGGCATTGCCTTTCTGTCAACCCGTTGGCTGCAACGCGCAAGGTGCTCGCAAGAAAGTAGTACCCCGACTACACATCAAGTGATATTGCCGAAGGCCAACATTGGTAGAGTCAAGGTCAACTGAAGTTATGCTGACCACATTCGTGATGTGGTGAAACGCGTCCTTGAGGAGCCTTGCAGTACAAGCGTTCGTATATGGCTCGCCGAAGAGGGCCATTTGGTCGCTGGCTGGACAGCGTCAGCCTAATAACAGGACACTGCGAGTCGCGTAAATGCATGGCGTGGCGAAGGTCCTTATGTGCTATTCCGATAAGGGCCCGAGACAGAATGGGTCCGTTAAACATTGATTTCAAGTATGGGACGGTGGTTTGGAGTGCAAGCAATTAGTCATCTTCGGCACGGAACCCTTCTCAAAATCTGGGGAACAAAATTTTGTTTATCACGTATATTGTAGCTGCATTTCATTTCATTGCTGCATTCTGCATTCATTCATTGTAGCTGCATTTCATAACTGCATTCAGTATTTCATAGCTGAATCTATATTTTGAAGCAGCGATGCCCCACCCAAAATTACATTCTGCTATCCGGTTTTATTTTCTCATCAGACCATACGGTGAACAAAGCTGGGTTTCAAAGAAGACAGTGTCTGACTCGTGGCCTTCCATGGATAGCAGATAAAATGACGCTCGGCATAAAAAGCCTCCACGAGGCCAGTGAATAAGTGACGTCAGTATCATGCTAAGGTTGCAGAAATAAGCGTATGCTTGCTGGGCAGAAAAACACGTCATAAAAAAGGGGCTTAACCCCAATTATCTTAAGTTATCCATTATGTCAGCAAATAGCTTAATAAAGGCTGCGGCGATCAAGTTGTCCGGCTGCATCCTCCATGGCGACGCCACTACGCAAAAAGATCAAAGAAGATAGTTTTTTAGTGATGGCCACCTTTTACCTTCGTGTTTTGTAGTATTCCAGCCAGGAGTGGATCCGGGATTTCGTCAAGGGGGGGGGGGCACGCAACATCGTGTGGTCTCCTGGAGTTTGGACCCCCTAAACGATATCCCTGCATTCCGGTCATTGCATTTCATTCCGCGCAGGTCCCTAAATTCAAACACCAAGACCCAATGTGCATGCCCCGGAACAGTCCAATGCGACCGAGGAGGCGAACAGAAGGGGCCTCGACAAGTGTGTATGGCCCCATTCAAATAGGACTTGCCCAAGACCCAATGAAGAGGGTCCGAACGTTCGAATGTGCCCGAGCGGGTTATCAGGTAGGCTCCTACAAGAGCGTAGCCCCCTCCTTCCCATTCAGATCAGAAGTACCCAAGGTCCAATGTGGGGAGTCCTCGAACGACCGAGTGTGCCCAAGCAGCCCGGGCGTACACCGGCAGGTTAAGATATGGGGCCACGGCTATAGCCCACAGAGCCTTTCCGGCGAGTGGAAAGAATGCGTGGAAGGGCCATTGATCGACTTGAGTGTACCGGCATGCTAGCAGGAAGAGCCAGCAACAGCACAGGGCCCTCCGAGCAAATGTAAAAGAATCAAGAGCAGCGTGGAAGGCTCCTTAACGATCGGAAAGACCCTGCGAGCGGGCATACAGGTCCCCAGAAACAGCATAAGGCCCCTTGACAGTGTGATGAGACTTAAAATTCCCAATTCATAAGTTCTTCAATCATTCAATATTTGTCTTGTTCTCGTGGGCCTTTCACTCTCGCTTCCAACTGTTCGTGGTCGCCTGGAAATCCAGAAATGTCTAAGTTTGTTTCGTTTTGTGTAAAAAAACTACATCTCTTCGGCCGGCTGCAGACCCCTTGGGGCCAAAAGGTTCCTTCGGGGCCCAAGGGAGGCCATGGCCCCGTGCCCCCCCCCCCTCCCCTCCGGATCCCCCTGATTCCAGTCAGACACTAGGGGCCCAACTCAACATGGGGGGGGGGGGGCAGCGTGCTCCCAAAAAAATCGACAACCGCGTGCTGATTTGCTTTTGCTCGTGTCCGAATAGCTGCTAATCAGCTGCCACGGGTTGATTTATTTGAAACTGTGACGAGTTTCACTATTGCCCCGAAGTGCACCCTCATCAGTTCGTCATCACGTTTGCCGAAAGCTCCGAGAGGCCACATGCTCCTAATCATGCACACGCTCGGCACAGATGTCGCCACTGTCGGCGCCGCCGGACTGTTCATTGTGACGTCACGAGGCTACACGAGCTGCCGGCCGGCTGGAGCCTCCCCCGCCGCGGCGGCCTTGGTCTCAGGCTGCTGTCAACAGAGGGGCGACTGGCTGGCGGCGGTCGAGGTGGTCGGCGCGCTCTGCGAGGGTTTGCGGTCGTGAATCAGTCCTTTCGGACTCGACTGGCGGCCAGCCGGGGACAGGCGTCAGTGTGCGAACTGAAGAGCAGGGACAGGCACTCCGCGTCTGGCTCGCCGGCCTGCTGCACTGAGCGCCTGTCGACGCACCTCCCACTTCCAGGTAACTCCCTGACGACTGGATGCGAATTATGAACCGTAATGCAAGCTGCGTGGTCTTGCGAAGTTTCATGGGAGGGGGGAATATTACGCATCGAATGGCCGATTGAGCTCGAAGTTAAGATGCTTAGATGTGAGGGCCCTCTCGGCTCTCACATCTCTTGGAACAGGCAAGCTCGCGGACTGACCAAAACTGAAAGCTGTTCGTGAAGGCAGAGTGAGGCAGCGTGAACCGACGACACCTGTTCACGATCCGTGCTCTACGCGAAGGGGACCGATTGACAATAAACCTCCGCCATTTGGTGTGTCATATGTGATAACGTATCGCTGAATCAGATAGCAAAGTTCATTCGTTGCAGACGATCCCAGCCTCCGAGCAACGGGCCGATCGTCATCTGATACTTCAAAGTGGATGATTTGTCATTTCTAAAATATCGTGCCCATGGCTAAGTCATAGGCAACCGAGAGTCTCAAAAGTACCGCAGCCAGTGCCAGGTCATCCCTTTTCTGAACTTATGTAACGTACCTCGATTAAACCTATGTTCGATGTGGCGAAGTCTGTGAACCATGCCTTCCAGAAATGGTGGCCTGGAAGTACCATGACTGAAATAATATAGGGTTACCCGAAATGCCCTAGAAATACGAGGACTTTTGGCGGTCGGTCTTACTTGGGCGACTGTGTCCGGGGCAGGACTGGTTATCGCCGCTTGCACATCGAACGGAGCAGGGTGGGTGGTTTCCGTGCCACTGGTTTGGTGCATGGGATCATCTGCTGCTGATACTTGTATCTGCTGTCGTGGCGAGCGAGCTGTGACCTGACCTTGCTTTTCAACGCGCATCGCACCGTAAGGAAGCATCGCCAAACGGCTGATCCACGCCGCCCGCGGACGAAACCGAGAAACGGGAGGAAAAGCGCTGTCGGGGAGCCGCGGTAGCAGTGTGTGGGAGGGGGGGGGGGGGGGGCACGATAGGCGAATGTTCTGATCGGAACACAGGCGCGATATCTCGGCCCGAGATTGTGCGTTGTGTTCGTTCAGATTGTAGTGGCAGGACAGGGCGGAACTGTGAAAACAGGACAGGACTGTGTGTGCCCCGAGAGCCCTGCCTTCACTTGCAAGCTGTTGCGAATTGGGAGTCGTGAAGGTGGGCCATCCGCACCGAGTCGGATTCCGAAGGTCTGTGTCCAGCCCCAAATGGTAGGGATATATCCTTGGTTGGCTGCTCAGTGATGACAGGTGTCTGAATGGAGCGTCGGGATGCAGTACAGCGTAAGATACTTGCTGTCAAAACCACGGTAGCGACACTGTCATCGTCGTTAGTTAAAAATGCGCAACGCAATCGTAATAAGTGACTCATATTTTTGTTATGCGGGGTTGAATAGATAAGTTCGTACAGTTACAAGAGAAAGGCACATCGTCTTTGTCCACCACTAGACCCGCGATGGCCCGGTGTGCGCCGGTGACGGCAGCGTGCTCCGACGAACTCGGGAAATCCCCGCCCCTCCCCCTTCCCCTCTTCCAAGCAGCGCTGAGTGCCGATCGCCGGCCATTCAGGGACGCGACAGTGTGACGTGAACTGGCCGGCAATCGGGGAGGTTCGCGCCCTCCGGCGGAGTGTGACCAGAGGTGGGACTCGCCTGCTGTTCGGAGTGCTCTGGGTGGCCGTGCTGTAGGGTCTCGGGAGGCCGTGCAGAGCCGCTGACGTAAAAAAAATGGATGCTGATGGGGCTGACCGTCATATGACAGTCTCGTCACGGTCATAACCCTGCACACATGGATGGGGAGTTGTGTTTTGGGTGAGGGTCGAACTCCATCCACGGTGCCTGTCCAGGCTTCGTGAATGTTTGACTTCAGTCAGTAACGCAATTTTCAGAAGACGCCAGGAATAGCAAAATTCACGTCACGGGGAAATCCGGAACCACTCCCCTCTCTAGCATTTTACGGTGTTTCGCGTCGGTCCAATATGAAGGACTGTTTTCACCGTTACGAGCGAGGCCGCACGCTCTGGAAAACTTATTTGAACCGTATGCGAGTTGCAATTTGAGGGGAGTGGTCCTTCCGCATTTGTATGAGGTTTGAACTGAAATAGAGCTGTTGAAGTCCTTTTGATGCAGCTCACGGCCATAACATTTTTAGACCTAAAACCATCGTGCTCTGCAGCTTAAAGGCCGCAGATATAGGGAGGGTAATCGTCGGAGAGTATGTCAAGATCACTTTGGCATTTATGACGTCATAATTGCGTCATTCAAATCCTGCCATTCGATAAGTCATATGACGATTAAGGTCAACAAAAATGTGATGATCGAGTCGTTCATATCTGGCGTTCGTGAGCACGATTTCCACGTATAACGGCCGTCAATGGGCTCTCAATAAATGCTGTGCAAGTTACGATGGCATAATCAAACAATGACGTATAGGGAGGCATGCTTACGTAACAGACAAATCGTGTTGTCTATAGCAGTCTTTTCTGCTTAAAAGTTACAAGTAGTTACAGGTGAGGTTGTTTCATCGTATCCGATGCTTGCTTCACTATCTTCAAATATGGAACATTTCCTTTTACTGGCCTGTCCTGGTCTGGCTGCCGCCCTTTTTACACGCTCATAACCTTGAACGATTAGTCGCATGCTCATATTGTTTTCAGTATGACGGCTGTTTTTTAAAATTTGTAGAAATAATTGGGCATTAGCAGGCAATATTGTATATCACCACGATTTCGCCTCCTTCATCCGATTAACATTGAACAAATTACATTCTGGACCCGCGTGGAACGTAAGGAACACGAATCGAAACCGTACGCAGATCTCAATGACCCGGTGTCCCAGCAACACCACACTAAGAGATTCTGACGAAGAAAATAACAACAACCTTAGACCACGCGCTCTTGTACGCAGACCGTGCATCCACCGTTCAGAGTTTTTCTGTAGACCAATGTTAGATCGTCAACTTCCAGAGACTAGACCATATTCAGACATAAACCGACTATATGTTATAGGTGACATTATGAGCTACAGTTCACAACGAATCTCAGAACTTTCCGGCCTATAGGTGCGCCAAAAATCGGCTGGAACCGGCCAGTTTCGCCCTTACCGAAACCGACATAGAAATTCGAAACGCTCGGACCTAATCAAAAAGCAAGTCGCTGCGTAGTCATGCCTTTAGCGTCCCAAACATCTCCATGTTTACAATACAGTCACAATAGACAAAATCTTAAATTAATTTAAGTTTGCCGATATCGATTAAAATTCCCGGGACGGGTGTTACTTGTAGCGAGTCGTTTTTCGAGCAGTGCTATTTGAGGCTAAGTCCTCGAATCCAGATCATTGGACCGAAGCCTGTAAAACTTCCCATGAAAGAAAGAGCTCTCAACGCATTCATGAAAATTATTGATATCAACCGCCTGAAGGTGTCTGGCTTCATCAGCTACCGGATGGTTTGACCTACCGTGCTCGCCTGATGTGCCAGTATGTATGCATCGCCGGATGTGTACACACCAGCACGCTACACGCGGACACACCAGCACACTACATACGGACGTCAGTCCGAACATCATCCTTCTGTAACACTAACCCCTAGTCGCAGGCATTCCGTGAAGGCCCATTGCTGCCTATTGACGTCATGTGTGTGAAGCATAATTTGGGGACGCATCCGTAAGCGGAGGGGGAAATGCCAATTTTGAAGGTGATTCTTCACGGGCATCGTCACAGGGTAAATGCTACGCGTTTTAAAAAGTGAGATGGGGCTTGGCCCCCGCCTCGCCCCCTCGTATTTCTTCGCTCATGGAAGTAACGACGGAGAACACACTTGTTATCGCGTCGCTCGCCGCGCGCTACACAAGGTGTCCTACACGATAATAAACGTGGACAGGCGTTTATGCGTATTTTCGTCATTGACGTTCTGCATCTTGCAGATTGTTCTCACGGACCCCAATACCAAATATTGATGTTCCGATGGAAGCTGACAGTCCGGCAGGAGCGCTGGCGCAGCGGGGTGAGGGCGGACGGATGGCGCCAGCGCAGTCGTCCACCCAGGATTTCTGTAGCGGGGCCAACTCGACGAAGGGGCTGTGAGACGCCGCTCGAAGATCGCTCATCTCGCTGGCCGGGGGGGGGGGGGGAAGGCAGGGGGGGCTGAGTCGGCGACCCATCGGATGCCGAGGATCAAATGTTGGTGCTGCGGGCATAAATCTAGTCAAGGATGTTTGCTGGCAAACAATCTTCTCGTCCTCGTAGAACCGGAAGAAGCCTTGCTGAAATTCTAAATTTAGAGCGCCATTCATGCGACCTTAGTCACACTTTTCTTCGGCTTCTCTGAGGCACCTGTCCTCGGGTTCTGTAGGCCTATCTCTAGACTTCCGCTAGGATGCTCGGGTGCTAGAGAAGGGGGAAGCCAGGCCTGGAGGGCTCCCCTGGGTGCGCGACGGCACCAGTGGCTGCCACGGTTACCAAGAACTCACCTTCAAGGCAACCACTCATGTACCATACTCTTGTCACCACGGTTACCAAAAACTCACCTTTACGGCAGCCATTCATGTATCATACTCTTGTCAGACTTATGTCGGTTATCGTACCCGATAACGTTGTCCTTGAAGTGGCGCGGATGAACGCCAAGAAGTTGTACCGTACATGCTTACACCTTGGATGAAAATAGTTAGAACCGTTCGGAGCCGTGATTTGCGACGCATTCAAACGATATCAATGCGCTTTGTGATTCTTCGGCAACGGATTCAGATTTTAACCTTATCGGCACATTCTGAAGGAATGGTTGTCTGCACTCTCGCCGATAACGGTGGATTGCTGTTTTCAGCGGCACCACCATGGTGAAACCAGGGATGTGTTATGCAGTGGTGTTTATGATACCGTTCGCGTTCACCACGGCGAATGTTGACGCTGAGGTTGACTTGTTGATTCGTCCTTTAGCCTGAATGCCTGACTATGAGCCGGGCTTGCCCCAAACATGGCGGCCAACCCGCCAATGGCTGCCGGCCCCGGTCCGCTGCAAGCCGCCGCAGGCCGGCGCGGCTCCGGCGCGGCCGGGCCAGCATTTTGGCTCCGTGCCAGCATGCACCGCGTGTGCCGGGTTCGGCGGGTACGGGGTTCGGGTGAAGCTCCCAGCTCACAATCGCACTCAGTGACTTTGTGATGCTCTCGACCGGTCTAGTGGCCGTCCCGGCTTCCTTTCTGTCGCGGTCGGCGGTGCTCACCTTCCCCCGGTGCCGGCGGTTGAGTTCGGTTTCTGGTCAGGACTGAAAATAAGGTCACGCTTAGTATTCCTGGCGGCGGTCTTTGCCCCCGGAGGCCAGAGCTCTTGTCTCGATGGTGCGCGGTTTTACCCCGAAACTCTCTCACAAGTTGAGGTCAGTTATTTTATTCGATGCCGTCTGTACACATGCCAGGGAAATTGTACCTCATGAGACAAAACTAAAGCGTATGAAGCTTGCATTACGCCTTTTGGCAGTCGACGTTATGACATCTTATGTAATGTTCGTCAAAATCCCCTCCCCTCCCCAAGTTGATCATATGTCCACGTGCTTCCCACTTGATTCAGGTGCTGAGGCCTGTACATCTAGGGGCTCGCGATACGCAGTGACGTTTCATAGTTATGTCGGCGCCACAGCATTGCTCGCTGTGCATCTCCGGAGCGCGGCGCGGACTGCCCTAACAGCACCCAGCCCCAAATTACTGCGGGAGCTTGGGGACTCCCCCTGACCCATGTCATTGACAGAGACGTCCTCCGTTCCAGGATGTCGGGCATTCCAGTGCCGAACTTGGGGCCGCCTTACCCGGGGCCGGCAGGGTCTTCGTATCCACCACCGGCTGGCGGTCACTACCCCCAGCAGCCGCCCCAGTACACACCGCAACCGCAGTACGCGCCTCAGCCCCAGCACGTGCCGCATGGGCCCCAGTACCCGCCGGCGCCGGTCAAACAGGAGGTGTACCCCGTGGGAGCGACGCAGGGGCCAACGGCGCCTCCGGCCGGCTCCTTCGAGAAGGTCGAGGGCTACAGAGACACCGGCTTCAATGGCGGTGAGTCGGCCATGTGGTGTCTGACGCGGTGTTTAGTGTCTTACGATACTCCGACGACAGAGGCACCGACTTTGATGGCGGTTAGTCGACTGTGCGATGTCTGACACGATGTCTGATGTTTGTCACAGTGTCTGGTGTCTGACAGGGCGTCTGGTGTCTGACAGGGTGTCTAGTATCTGCCAGGGTATGTGGTGTTTGACCAGGCTTTTGGTGTCTTATTTGGGGAGCATCAGTCGTCATGCTATTCGCCGGAAATTTACACGTCACCGCGAAATTTGCACGCTAACTCACCGCACCAAAGGTTTTGAAACATGATGCGTCGGTTGCAATAAATCGTACACTGTTTGTGATTGGGAGCAATTATAAGCAGCAACACATTTTAAGCGTTCCGCTAGCCTGACATAGAGTAATACATTTGCTGCAGAAGAGATTGTGTCGTAGGAAACATATTTGCTTGCGAAGTTGAAATAGTTAAATTTATCACGTTTCAAGTCAAACAGTTAAATTTATCACGTTTCAAGTCAAACAGTTCGAAGTGTAGATCACTTCAAACGATTTATGTGCGCTACGCTGCGATGGGTACATTTGGCCAGGCACAAGAGCACGCGTTACCTTTCAAAGCATAGTTAGATATGTTTGAACGTTGTTTTCTATTTTCGAATTTCCGCCTATATGCCTCCTGCGGCCAATATGAACTCCCGACAGTTTCACTGACGTTGCGCCGACGTCCTACAGTCCCGGACAACCCAGGGCACCTTCTCAGTCAGCAGCCAGGGCTTGTGGCAGTGAAAGGCCGGGTCACCTGGTGGGACAGAGCTGTGGGTCATTCGCCAGCGCCTCTCGCTACGTGGAGGGGAGGCTCGCCGCTGCTGAACGGTGGAGGGCGTGGTACTGCGGCTGCGTGATAAGCGTTGTGGTGCCTGCATGATCATGCGATCATGGGAGGGTTGGGACGCGGCCTCTCGGGTGCCCCCACCTGTCGTGCGCTCCCCTCCCTTTCCCAGGGGACCAGGGCCGGCCGGCGGACTCGCACCTGCTTCACGACTTTGCTTGGCTTATAACTGTCATCCTTGCGTAGATGCCCTGCTATTTTGGGTGACATGACTTGGGCTCCGCGGACGGGACTACGGGGAATTCGTACCGGGGGGAGGGGTTCCTCGCTCCCGCCCCCCGCCGCCGGCTCCCACCGGCCGGAAAACCCGTGCTGCTGCGTTGTTGTGATTTGGCGTATTCCACGTGAGACCCGGATGTTGCAGTTGGAAATTACGCTCGCTTCCGGCGCGGCATTTGCCACGCTTTCGGAAAACTAGATATCTGAATTCCGGAGGCTTAATTCTGCTTTACCATCCCGGTACGCTTCTGTTGATTTATGTGTTTTTTTTTTAGAAGCACGGCCATTTGAGAGTAGATGCTTTCGGGCAGGGACAGACGCAGCCGTTCCCCAACATTTATGTCAGGGCACTTCTTTTAGAGCCTTTTCTCGACGTCACGGGACATTTATTCATACGTTGGGAGGGTTTCCTTAAAGATTTATCGCACATCTCGTCTTTTCCGTTTTAGCCATTTTATTTTGTGTATCCTACCCCATTCAGGCATCAGCCCTTGTAATTACATTGCACCATGCAGATGCGCCACACCGTGGCAGCCGAGGCTGATTGGCACCTGAGCTAGGCCTACGTCTGTCGCAGGATTCGTGGCGCCGCCGTCGCGCGCGGTGCCGACGGCGCCGCCACCGGACCTGCCTCGCATGGACGTCGTTCAACAGCCGCTGAGCAGGGGCGAGGTCAAGGAGGCGCTGGCTGCCTTCGTGGCGCAGCACTGCTGCTACGGCTCCGGGCCCATCAAGGACATGGAGATCCGGAGCGTCGTGCCGTCGGCCACGTTCAAGGTCGGCCAGCAGCCAGCAGCGGCGCGCTGTGCACTGTGGGAGCCAGCGGGATATGGCAGCGCGAATGAAACCAGTTAGGCGCCTGCTCCTGGTGGATGTTGAATACCTGGGAAGATTAAGGGTTCTGGCGCTGGAGAGATTCACTCGTGCAAGTGCGGCGTAGCCGCTCTCCATTTTTTTTCTGAACTGCACGTGAACTGCACGTGCCAGCGGGATCGCATGGAAATTTCAGATTGGAATCGCGTCAACTGCCCCGTGCGAATGGTAAGTTGAGAAACGATTCGTACATGTCAAGTCATCTTTCGCGCATTGCGTGTCGAACATAAGCGATTTCGTATGCCTGTTGTGGTTCCGTCAGTACACACTGGATACCTTCACGGAGAAACGGGAGACGAAGTGGAAGTTTGAGCCGTGGAAGGGCGACTCGTTAGCTACGAGTGGAGCCCCTCCTCCGGGACCTTGGGACATGCCCATCACTCCAAAACATCTGTTCCAGGTCAGTGCTCCCCCCCCCCCCGGCGCATTGCGTTGTATGATCTAACGCCCATGGTTTTCTGTCCATGCTTGCTCGGTCCTTGATTTAGTTTTAAGTGGTGGGGGGGGGGGGGAGCTAGTGTTGATCTCGAATGGTACTTTGCACTGAATGTCGGAGTTAAGTAATGCCAGAGGAAACGTTTGCTAACAGGTGGAAAATTGAAATTAAGAGCCATGTCGTACTGTAACAAAACAAACAATCGATAGGTTTGCCTAAAGCGCGTGAGATTTTCCCAAAAGCGAGTGAGAGATTTCTCGCTCGATCGCTCGAGATTTCTCGAGAGATTTCTGTGGTCTGTGTAACCGTCCTGTGACGTGCTGCCGATTTCAGAAAGAGACGCGCACTCTGGAGGTGCCCAACAGCCAGTCGCTGAGGCCGTGTCACGACTGTCAGGCGCACGGCGACAAACGCTGCCAGCACTGCGCCGGCCGCGGTCGGGTGAGTCGGCCACACCGGGTCAGGTGCGGTCAGTTGTCACATGGGTGAGGTGTGACACGGGTCAGGCGTGACGCGGGTCTAGTGCGGCGCGAATCAGGTGTGAAATCGCTCATATGTGACCCGAGTCGAGGACAAACCGATCAGTGCCAGGTCACGGTTTATGTTTTAAGAATTTCACAAAGATAAGACAGTGGCATTGGCCTTATTCCTCGGAGAAAAATCAGGAGAAGGAAAATATAGTTAGGTTGATATTTTGGCAACATGCCCTTATCGAAACAATAGCAGAACTACATATTTACAGCGACTGGCTGTTGGGCACTTCTGCTATTATTTCGATAAAGGCATGTTGCCGAAATTTCAGCCCAACTATATCTCCATTCTCCTGTTGTTTTTTCTTCGAGGAATAAGGCTTATAGCACTGTCTGATCTATGTGAATGATGCTCCTCAGTAACGCACTGAACAACTTACGTAATTTTTTTTATAAAAAAGTCCGACCATTTCCCACCAACGGGATGATTGTCACACGACCATAGCGGTGATCGCCCGTTACCAGTCGGCTCATTTTCGACCAGCCCCTTGAACGTGTTCGCCTGACGCGTGTCGGGCCGCCGTCCAGAGCTCGTGCGGACCGTGCGGCGCCAGCGGTGTGCGCCAGCAGGAGCAGTGCGGCAGGTGCGGCGGCACCGGCACCAACGAGTGCACCCCGTGCCACGGCTCCGGCATGATCACCTGCCCCACCTGCCGCGGCGAGCGCAATCTCAAGTACTTCGTCGAGCTCACTGCCACCTGGTGAGTGATGCCGGCGGCGCGGAGGTGCTGCGCGCACTGCGTCAGACTGCAGGCAAGTTTAACTCACCGCGGATGTGCAGCCAGGAAAGAGGGGGGAGGGGGAGGCGTTAGCGAAGTTCGGTGAGAGCGCAAAGCGCTGTTTTTTTGGGGGAGGGGTGCTTGGAGCCTTTTGTGGTAAAATACGAAAGCAATGCGGGCCCAGGAAGGTGGGAGGGATCCCGTCACCCATCCCTTGACTGCGCCTCTGCCTCACTGCATTGACGTGCTGCAGAAGTGGTACAGCGAGACGGGATGGACGGTGGGGACTGGGGACGATGTCACGTGGCGCCGCTATAGACGCCCGCTGGGTCAACGGCCCTGCAGAGCACCTCCGTCCCGTGTAGGGACCTGAACAATGATGAGAGCCGACGCCTATTTTGTCGCTGCATCGAACTCCTAGCGAAGTTCGAGATGCGCAGTGTTTGGACTCGGCACGTGGTAGCCAACGGGAAGGCGTAGTTTTCTGACCAAGGCTTGATTGTCCTGGCCATGCGTCGGGCTCCTGGTTTTCAACATGTTTTTTTTTTTGCTGATGATACAAGACGTTTAGCATTCCAGGTGACGCTGGCTGTCAAGTGTTGCGCTTTGAAAACCCACTTCTAGCAGTACTCATGAGCGTGATATATTCCATGTAACGAGGAACGCCATCATTATACTAGCGCATTCGCGGCACGAGGTTAAGACTTTAAAATTATGATTCAGCGGCTGTGGGCAAGAGGCCCAGAGGGAGCTATTGCTTGGTCCAGCTCACAGAAAGGTCGACAAGTAGATGGCTAGCGCGATTCAACCCAGCCCCGGGAGACGTCTGTGAAGTTAGCGGTTTATTTGTGCTTTATTAGGAGACGTTCACGGGTGGCCGTACGGGATAGGCGGATCCTGGGGGGGGGGGGGCACGGGGCCATGCCCCCCGAAACGTCTGAGAGTATGTTTTGCCCCCCCCCAAAAAAAAACATTCCCAGACCCTTATAAAAGTTTGGTTTACTTACCGTCTGTTTTAACTTTAAGTGTTTTAACTGTTTTGTTTTAACTTCTGTTTAAGATTCAAAAGCATTTCGGTGTTTTTTCGGTTTTGAATGGTGTCCCTACTAGGTACTCGCGAGAGGCACCTTGCACTGGACCTCGGATCCCACACCAGCCAGCTGGCGACGAACGGTTGCCCCCCCCCCCCAAAAAAAAAAGAAACTCCAGGCTAGATCCGCCCCTGCGTACTGGTACATCGCGCGACCCGTAGAACACTTCACAGTTGTATTTGGTGGAATGTCGGGGGCAAGATTATCCGTTGAACTGGAACGACGTCATGGGTGGGATCTCCGGCTACAAGCAACAAGCTGTGCTTATGGTGTGCTCTGTAGCCATTGTCACCCATGTTTATCATTTGAAATATTCCTATCAATATTAAAAATACAGCGAATGATCTATCAGCACCCAGGAATATTGCTAGAAACGTTGCGTACTCTCATGATGTATTTCAATGGTTGCTTGATGTTTTTTTTCAAGCGTTACCTCCCGGCACAGCGGATGTCGGTTGTTTTCAGCGCAAAAGCTCAAACAGCAGAGTCCGCTTTTGGCAGAACGGTGCTCAGCACCGTCCGCGGGGCAGCGCCGTGTCGGCGCCGTGCACAGTGTTCTGGTATACGAGCCGGCGTGCGTGGGCCCTCAGGGAGGTCCACAGCGACAAGTACGTGGTGGCGACGCCCGGGCTGCCTGACGAACAGGTGCGCGAGGTGAGCGGCGAGACGGTGTGCCAGGCGCAGGGCCTCTTCGTCTGGCCGTTCACCGGCTTCCCGGAGGACCAGGTGGAGCACGCCTCTCAGCACCTGGTCAAGAAGCACCAGACGAGCTGGCCGCTGGCGCGCCTGCTCCAGCAGGTGAGCTGTGGCGCGGCGGCCGGCTCCAGCGGCGGCGTCCACGGCCGTGGCGCTGCCTGCCGGAGATCATCGGTTCGCGCGTCCTCACGCCGTCAGACGTGTGGCTGAGCTCTTCGGAACCTGCAGCCAGTCACTGTTCCGCGGGAGGCTGTCTGCGTGAAGAGTTCTGTAGATGGTAGGTGGGACGGGGGCCACGAGCGTTAGCAAACGACTTTCGTCGCACTGATGCAGTGCATCAAGGTGTCCCATGTTCATGCACTGGGAAGCTTTGTGCTACGTACGTTCGCGATCTGTGAGACTTACGAAGGATCTCCATCTGCGGTGTGGAGTTGCATAATCCTCTGAGACTTTTGTCTTTTGCGTCGTCTTTTGCGGACCAGTTACGACCGAGCGACTTTGATTTGGCTTTCATGCGACTTTGACCTTCGATCAATATTTATTGATTGTGTTATAATTGGCACTGCTATGTGGCCTGCCCTCAGCAGTGTGTTCCTTTCCTGGTTGCGCGCCCCCGCGTATGTCTATTTCATTTCGAATATCGTGATGAGTCGTAAGTGTGTATTAACGTAGCTACATCACTGAACTAAGCGGCGTGGTTACGCAACTGCACGTGATGGTTGCGGGGATTCGTTAGGTTCAGGTTAGTGTGCTGGTGGTGGTGATCACCCGATGGACGGTTTCAGCGGCACGACGTACAGCAGATTCCCATACACACCGTCGGCTACCGCTACAAGGAGACGGAAGGCACTTTCTTCGTCTGCGGCCACGAGAAGAAGGTCTTCTTCCCTGACTACCCGGCGCGCTGCTGCTGCTGCTGTGTCCTGCTCTAGGGCGCCCCTGTTCCGCTGAGGACGGCACACGCTCCCCCGGCCTGCCGTCCTCACCGCCGCCGCTTCTGCTGGCTCGAGCCGCCCGCCGCTCGGGAGGACGCGACAGCGCGGCCGCCACCCGGGCCGGGCTGGCGGCCGCTCGGCGCTCGCTCGCGGTGGCCCGTCACGCTGCGGCGGCGTCCGCGGACTCTGCCGCCTGCTCGCTCTCTCGTGGGTGGTGCAGAGTCCGGCCGCGTTGGTCGGACTCTGAACCGCTGACTCTGGACTCTGTAGGTTACCGGGGTTGCTGTTGAAATGAGGCTGCCGAGCTGTGATGACGTGCCTGTTTCCGTGCTTGTTGCTGCGTTGGTCGGCGCAGGCGCCCGAGGAAGTGGTGCTGTGGTCCGAGCTTGAGGAGAATTAGAGGGTACTGGGAACGGAGACACACGCCGAACGAGCGACAACATAACCGAGATTTTGAGCCGTGGCGCATGCACGCGTGTATAAATGGGCGCACAGTGACGCCTTATAAGTGGCGATCTTCGAGGGCGATGCTGGAATCTCTCGAAATTGCATCCATCTTGAATATTAACGCGCATTGGAAAGACGCGCACGCGCTCACGGATAACTGCGAAGTCCAGACATGGTCGCCGTTGTTGTGACAGTGCTTGCCATATGGAGCACAAGAGCGTGCAATTAATGATTGCTCCCGTATCGCTGTATATTCCAGCCTTGTAGCACACTCAGTGGTTCAGCATATCCGCCATTGTTTTGATAAGCTTTTTCACATGACATATGATCATGCAACCAGTGATGTATACTCAGTGCGTTGTCAACGACGCATCCACTTTTTTACGCAACTGACGGCAAAATACATTCTCCCAGTAAGCAGAGTGGCTACGAGTGTCCGGTAAGAAAGCGGCGGGGTTTCGCAAAATAACTAAGTTTACTCTTGAGATACGCCCCACAACGTACTTTTACTAGCATCCGGCCATTTCTTCTCAAAATAGACGGACGCCAACAGTAAAGAAAACCGTCCACCAGCGGCGTAGGCACGTTGAACGGCCTCGAGGCATGCCCACATCAGGCCACCTGGGGAAACTGACCCGCCACGGTTCTTAGGACTCGGGTCTGATGCGTATGAACCGCGGCCGGCGGACCCTTCAACATCGGCAGTCTGCGCTCCGCCAGCTCCAGATTGTTGCCAGAAGGGGGGCTGCCACAGCCGCTGTGTCCCGACTGCCGCTCCGGCTGCTGAGGCGGGGGGGGGGGGGGGGGGGGGGAGGGGGAAGGCAGCATCCCAGCGGCGGCGACCGGGCGCTGGGATCACTGGGCCGGCCGCCGGGGGCCCAATCGGCACTGACGGAACCGACTAAGGCGCTACGAACTCTTCATCCCGAGCGTAGCAACGATTTGCGTGGTCCGCTTCCAGGAGCACCCAACCAATGACGCGTATTCCGCCAAATGAGCAGTTAACTTCGGCACGAGTACTTCGTCTTTGAAGCTTCTCTCGACCCACACAATTACGTCTGATTGAACGTGCGTTCGCCGTCACGCAACTGAAGTCTTTCGGTTGCCACCCAAGGCAAGCTTACGAGTCACGAAGAAGCTTCATAACACATATAACGCCACATAACATGTTGCTTACGTTTGCCTCGTTTCATATTGCACTTTCGTCTTCAGTTCCCGACGAAATACAAGTATCTTTAACGCAGGTTTAATGATAACATCACATGATCGTAGGTAAATACTTCCGATCACGGTGCGCATCCAGCTATGTACTACACCCGGCAACATGTCAGCCTCGTTTCCGATATTTAGTTTTTTAAGTTACATTTATACTATTCATGGAAAGTCAGGTGTTTCCATTCAGTCCCAAACTGCCATTATGAAGGCGTCTAACTTACACGGTTCTGCCAAACGCATCTCCACATCAGTGCCTGGCATTTGGCATGTCAAGGTCTGGTCGTCAGATAATACGTCAACAAAGATCTGCAAGTATTGTCCTCTAGGGCTAAATAACATTACGACGATAAACGCCCCGCTACAATTTTGATCACGTACAATCCGGAAAGCGTTTCAAAGTCATGTGCGACAGCGCAACGCCCCCGTCCAAATGTCCGACAGAAGGGCTAAGCCAGGTGCACACATGTTACAAACCAACAACTCTAGCTATTATTGCGAGGCACCTACCAAAGCACTGATTCTTAAAACTGTAGGTTGGAAAGTAAACGGAGATTCAACGAAAGAAAAAAACTGGAATAGCCATGGGCACACCAGCAAAGCGATGGATGACAGAGTCCTACTATTCAGATAGTTGCCGTACTCGCATGATCCCAGACGCCAGATATGCGCATAACTTAGAACTCCCCAGCCCAGGTGCACCCATTTACAGGTTTTCAATTATAAATTTCCCTGACTCCAGTCAACTATCACCCGCATTACCAGCGTGGATCACCAACGCACGCCGCGCTCCAACACGCATCACAGACATGGCCCGGTCCCAGCTGATAACAACGCGGCATCCCCGTCTAAAGTGACTGCCAGGCGCGCAGCTCGGCCACGTCACGTCACGTCACGGCCAGCCACCGGCCGTGCGTCACGACGTCACGCCAGCGGTGCGCCCGGCGAGCCATGCTCACCCTGCCCGCGGAGCCCGGCCCCGCCGGCAGCCGAGCCGGCGCGACCCAGCGCCTGCTCGAGGTCAGCCACGGCCGCCGCCACGTCCGCCTCGCTGGAGTGGCGGCCTAGGCTGAGCCGGAGCGAGCGGCGAGCGTCGGCCGGTGTCACGCCGCTGCGCAGGAGCACACCTGCCGCGCGGGGCGGGGCAGGTCACGGCCGGCCACGGACGAAGACACAAGACAGCTCGGGGCGTCAGGCAGGTCAGGACCGACCGCGGCTGCTCACCAACACAGCTCAGCTCACGGCGGCGAGGAACCGCCCACACTCACTCCAGTCCAGTCACGGCAGAGCGGCGCGCACGCCGCGCACAGCCAGACACGCGTGGGACGGCGAGCCGCCGACGCTAACCACATCGAGATAAACACCCCCAGGTTACACCGGCACAGTTAGCCGGGCCGGGCGGCTGGCCGCGGTGACACCGGTCCGGCGCGCCACCGCCGGCGGCCAGCGACTCACCGCTGGCGGCGGGGCCCTGCTCGTGGCACGCGGCGCCGGTGCTGGCCAGCAGATGGCGACAGCGGGCCAGCACGGCGCGGCCCGACTCCTCGCCGGCCAGCACCACACTGCTGGTGTTGGGCAGCCGCGGCGAGCCCCGCAGGTTGATCCGCTCGGCCACGCCCGTCTCCTGCCAGAGGCCGAGGGTCCGCTGTCACCCCGGCGCTGCGACGGCGAACCGGCACCGACGCGGTGGCCCAAGCTGTGAGGGCGCGGGGTCGCAGAGTGGCCGAGACGACAGCGGCCGGCGATCGCACACCACATCTGTGACGTCACAACGGGGGGGGAGGGTGGCGGCGGATAGGGAGCGCACATTAGCGAACCATCACGCCGGGGAAAGGCCACGATAGACTTGGACCCAGCCTCCAGCCCCTACAGTTCCGCACGTCAGCTCGCCGTCAAACCAACACGACCCTGTTGAGCCCTCAGAGCGCCCACGCACGGCAGCCCACAGTTCCGCGATGCGTCCCTGCCGCGTCCGCACCAGCAGTCGCTGCTCCAGAAGGTCCCGCAGGCTGGCGCATGTGCGCCTGGTCGCGCTGCAGGCGCTGCGCCGCCAGGCGGCAGGCGGTGCCCAGGCCGCGCGCCAGCGGCGTGTTCTCGGTGCCGGGCCGCAGGCGGCGCTCCTGGCCACCGCCGCGCAGCAGAGCCACGCACGCACCGCCGCCGCCGGCGCTCGCCGGCCGTGCTGTCTGGCCCAGCGGTGACGTCCAGAGGGCGCCCACACGCGGCCCGTACAGCTGGCGAGGGAGGGGCTGGCGTCACGGGCCGGTACGGCTGGAGGGAGGTCACAGGGCCCGTACAGCTGGCGAGGGAGGGGCTGGCGTTACGGGCCGGTACGGTTGGAGGGAGGTCACAGGGCCGGTACAGCTGGCGAGGAGGGGTCGGCGTCACGGGCCGGTACGGTTGGAGGGAGGTCCACAGGGCCCGTACAGCTGGCGAGGGAGGGGCTGGCGTCACGGGCCGGTACGGCTGGAGGGATGTCACAGGGCCGGTACAGCTGGCGAGGGAGCAGCCGGGCCACAAGTGTCAGTGTCGTTCGGGCAATGAGCGGCTGGTAACGGGACGATCGAGATACCGGGTGCTGAAACTAGTCGCATCAGCCATTCATTCTCGATAAATGCAAAAGAGGAAAATATGCGATACTCATATCCTTCGGAGATATCAAGGCAAATGTAACCTGTTCAAATGTAACCAACTTCGGAAATACCAAGAGAACATGTGCTCATTTTCCTTCCAAACTTCTCCGAAGCCATCCGAGATCGCAAATCACCTTGTGACCAACGATGGTGACGAAGTCTGCCCCGATGCGTGCTACATCAACGTCCACCTTGCCGATCGTCTGGGCGGAGTCGGTGTGAAACCAGATGTGACTTCGGTTGGGAAGACGCGCCAGGCGGCTGCAGTCAAACAGGGCGTCACCTTTCTTCCCGACTATCAGGTAGGCATGCGCGCAGCGTAAGACGTTTCGACGGCTGTCTGAAATTCACTTTCATTTGAATTGCCTCATTGATTTTCCCTACGATGTGTTTCAAAGATTTGTGCTGCTTAGCTCACACAAAAGGTCGTACGACCTCAGAACACGCACATCGATAATGGACTGCCAATGCGGAGATCCCGAACCCTCGCGCACGGATCTGAGCCATGACAGCTGAGCGGGCCGGGCTCTGATAGCTGAGCGGGCCGGGTTCTGACCGCTGGCAGCCGAGCGGGCCGGGCTCTGATAGCTGAGCGGGCCGGGTTCTGACCGCTGGCAGCTGAGCGGGCCGGGTTCTGACCGCTGACAGCCGAGGGCCAGACCCTTACCGCTGACAGCTGAGCGGGCCGGGTTTGACCGGCCCGCCGAGCGGGCCGGGCTCTGATAGCTGAGCGGGCCGGGTTCTGACCGCTGGCAGCTGAGCGGGCCGGGTTCTGACCGCTGACAGCCGAGCGGGCCAGACCCTTACCGCTGACAGCTGAGCGGGCCGGGTTCTGACCGCTGCCCGCCGAGCGGGCCGGGCTCTGATAGCTGAGCGGGCCGGGTTCTGACCGCTGGCAGCTGAGCGGGCCGGGTTCTGACCGCTGACAGCGAGCGGGCCGGGTTCTGACCGCTGCAAGCCGAGCGGACCGGGTTCTGACCGCTGACAGCCGCGCGGACCGATTTCTGACCACTGACAGCCGAGCGGGCCGGGTTCTGACCGCTGACAGCCGGACGGGCCGGGTTCTGACCGCTGACAGCTGAGCTGGGCCACCGTGCAGCGAACGGGCCGGGATCTGCTGGACAGATGACGCGGAGCCGGGTTCTCGACCGACCTGAGCGGGCCGGGTTCTGACCGCTGACAGCCGAACGGCGGGTTGACCGCGAGCGGCCGGGTGACACTGACAGTGAGCGGGCGGGGTTCTGACCGCTAAGCCGACAGCACAAGCGCGGGCCGGCCAGAACCGAATTTTGAACGCTAGCAGCAGAACGGACCGGGTTCTGAACGCTGGCCGTTGCGGAGACCAGGGCACACACCGTCCAATCTCCTCCACGTCGTTCAGCACGCCCGTCTCGTTGTTGGCCATCATGACGGAGACGAGGCAGGTGTCGGGCGTCACGGCATCAACCACCGCCGCTGGATCCACGCGGCCGCCGTCGGCGCAGCTCAGCCAGGTCACTGAAGGGTCACGACTGGCGTCATCCGTCAGCGGCGGCAGGGGCGGGATTGGCGGAACGACGGCGGTGCGGACCACCCTGGCCAGCTCGGCTGCCGTGTCGCGAGGAGGACGTCACGCTGCTACGGCGGGGAAGAGCCGCGCACGTGAGACCTGCCCGGACGAGATCGTTGTGCGATCACGTCCAGCGCGGCAGATCACCTACATGAGGCTCGCACTGAGGCTTCTGGTACGTGCCATCTGCCACAGTCTACATCATCAGCACTCAGTCTACCTCAACTAAGAGCAGTACGACTCCTGCGCAGCCTGACTTCACAAAGCTATGAGTTGGAAGTTCTTATGCAGACAACAATCGACCTTCAATATTCCAGTAGACGTACTTACCACGCCAACCATGCTGTCAGCATATCTTGGCTACATTGACAAAACTCGACGCTCCAAGCTGCGCCCATGTTCCCGAGCACAGGTCCAGGTCAATGAAATGTCGAGCTTCGTCATGGGCCCAGCTTGAAACGTCGAATATTGCCAGTAAAGCTAATGCTTGCTTCACTATGTCGTTTACTCAGTGCATCCTAATACACCTGCCGGACGCTCACGCATAATTTTCGCGGTTCGTTCGCCGTGCACCACCTGCCGCGCGCCTGCCTGCGCCCCGCCCACAGCCGCTCACCTGTGCACAGTCGGCGCGTCTCCAGGCTGCGGATGGGCTCCGTGACGGCGTCGTGCTCGGTGTCGGACGTGACGACGTGAGGCGTGCCGCTCCGGCCCGTGCTGACGTAGAACTCCAGCGAGCCCAGGATCACCATGTTGTTGGCCTGCCGCGCCCGACGGTCACGTCCACACGTCAGCGCCCGCAAACCAAACCGCTGACCTCAGCTGGAGGGAAAGCAGGCGGAGCGGCGATCGGGGGCAAACACAAATGCTGGGGTGGAGCCAGCAGTCACCATTCAGAAGATGACGTTCAATATGGCAGTCCACCGCGGGAACACTGTAGAAATATGCCTTAGCTCTAATGGTCACCAGCTCCCTCGGTGTCCCCCCAACCATGCATCAGCGCATGTGATTCTGTTCTGGTCCGATCTTATTCCGACATATCTGCCCACCTCTGTGCCACCAGAGGTGAAGACGACGTCGCCCGCCTTGTCCCCGATGGCGGTGGCCACCTGTTGGCGGGCCTCCTCCACCACCTGTCGAGCCCGCACGCCGGCGTCGTGCGGAGAGCTCGGGTTGGCCCAGTGCTCTGACAGTGACTGTGTGATGTCACTGATCACTTCTGGTGCCAGCGGTGTCGTGGCATTGTAGTCCATGTACACGGCCATAGCCGGTATGTTTTGAAGCTGATGAACAAGTTTCACTGATTTTTGCCTTTCAACAGAAGCAGCCACCTGAGGGAGACATCATTTTGGCGAAAAGTCCTCCCAAAATTAGTGTTCAGCACACAACTTGGTCCCTCAGCTCAATGCCTCATTAATGCACACAAAGACCATTTTAATGATAAAGGGAACCAGAAGGCAATAGTTATGCGCATGTCTATTCATACTGCAGTGAATAGACATGCACATGCTCAGCTTAGCTTAGGTTAGTGATAAGCTGGGGGTTCCAAACATCAAGCGACATGCTGGCCAAATTGTGTCATCATGTCAGGACCTGAATGTCAAACACAAGGCTATGTGCACAGCTTGCCAGACAGCTGTTGCCTACAGCTCATCTGGTTCATCATGCCCTTCAAAATACTAATGCTTATTGATTAATAATAGTGTAATGCTCAATAACTATTCTATTCACAGTATTCAATACTTCAAGCTGCACTCATCTTCAAGGGTGATAAGCACAGCCATTGGGTGCTTGGGTGCCAAACATCAACCACACATTGGGCACTACCAATTTTTTTTTAAGAACTTGTTTTGACTAGTACCCCCAGATTTATTGGAGATTGTGAACTAAACATGTGAACTTTCAACTCTACCTTTAGTTCCTTTAGTGCCTTAGTAGAGTACCTTTCTTTTTTGCAGCCACAATGTCAGAGTAGTTTCCCAGTGCCACTAATATGGCACACTCCACCTTATGGTTGTGAGACAAGCACACTCCCACTTAACCACACCCACAGTCCACCCCCCCCCCCCCTCCCTAGGCCCCATCTCACACAAGTTGGCACCTTGACCATGTGATCAACATAGCTTTCCACCTTGGCATTTGGATGAGAATGAATCTTGCTCCCTGGCATACCTGCAGTCATTTAGAGAAGAAAGCACCAATTTATGTTGGGTCTTGAATCTTGCATAGTTCAAGGGCTTCAAGGTTTAAAAGTCCAGCATTAATATGAGCACAGCCTGCATTAGCATATGTCAATGTTCACTTTCTTAAAGCTTAAGTATAAATGGTCTGCCTTAACGCACGCTCACATGGCCCACTGATAATGACCATCAAATATTTTGAGTCCCAAAAAGCGCATTTTTCACGGTACATATCACGCGGACGAAGCATTCCAATTGCTCGGAGCAGGTTCCAATGGCTCCAGTTCAAAATGTGGAGGTTTGAGCCTGGCTCAAGGCCAAGAGCTGCAGCGGAAATAATCCCGCAAGTTTCCCACGCTAAATGAACCGATGTGTACCATTCCTCGACCCCTACACTTAAACGAACATCAACACATGACCGGCTTACTACACCCGCCGCGGAACATTTTTTCCGTTGCCTCCAACGCGTTCGCCTCATCCCCTCTCCCGCATGTAGTGGAAGCATGTAAACAACATACTTCACGCCCATTGGCCAAAAGCCCTCATAGCCAATTTTATGACGTCATCCGGCAGAAAAGATAGGCAATTTGAACAGATGGCACTCGTGACATGCTGATCCATTGCAGCCTAACATGCTAGCAAAGGCCGAGACGAATGTGGTATATAGCTTAGTTTTGTGCATTTATGTATAGTGGAGGAGGGGCGCCTTTGGTGTAGATATGTGCTTTCCTTCCCACGCTTAGGTGAGTGTATGAGGGAGCAAGTGCTCAGTTTTTTTGTCAATCCTCCCCTTGGGCACGCAGTACTTGCTTGTAGGTAACTTACCCAGTGACTTGGGCGGCAGGATTTTGTAAAGAGCTCCACCCGAGGTGCCTTTCATCCCAGTATGCTGTGATCGTGCTTCCACGTCCCTATCGTTCTCTATGTCTGTGTGTAACACGGATGGGGTGAGACTGTCCCGTGGGCCGCGACCCATATGTTTGCTACCTTTGTCACCAAGTGTTCTGATATGTGGATGGGCAGCAGATATGCAAGATCTTCTCTGGGAAAAACAATATATTAAGTTATGTATACTTATGTTGAACCAGAAGCATGTATGTGGTTGCTTATTTGATTTGGGAGAGGGAGCTAAGAGAAGTCCAAGTCCCCTCCCAACTGAGGACTTTAAGAATAAAGTGGACCAAGTCTGTGAAGAAATCATCTTGGTGTATTTAGGGGACAGGCCTCACCACTTTACAGTGTTCAGTCGTGCAGCTCATTCTTCAAAGTTATGCCCTTCTGCCCTTAAAACCATTGTTGAACTGTACATGAACCATGATGTGAGGCCACTGGCAAAGCATTGGCAAAAGAACAATCTGTGTGCATAACAGACACTGCATACACATTCCCCCAACCCCATCCCCATCTGTAACATGTCACAATATTAAGGTAGTAGTAATGGATATGTATAAGGATTAAGATGATATGCATAATGAAGTTAAAATTACCCATATTAAAAAGATAATATCAGGCATTAAATGCTCAAATATGGAAAAATATATGAAATTAAAACTTTAAGCACCTAAAATAAGCTTGTGGGCAAGCTTCTGTCAGTGTGTTATCCTTCAGTGCTATCTCAATAAGATGACTTCTTTAGAGCATACAACTTCACAAATGTCATATTGGTTAGAACATCTTGCATTCAAAATAAAATAGTCTAATTCTTGTGACATTCATCACATTTAGCATATCAAATGGCAGCAGTAAGGGGACTGTGGATTATGAATGCATGCACTAATATGATTGTCATGTATATAGTGCAGTGCATCTGTATGGTTATGATTTCAAAATGCTAATTATATTCATAAAAGACCAGGATTTTGTCATCCAGGCACAAAAACTGCAAGCTCATACTGCTTATTACTGATATCAGCATGAAGAAAGAAAGCCAGCAGTAAAATATATTGAATCCTTTCATCACTCCTTTGAATGGCTGCACTGAGATGGACTTCCAATCACAGGCACTGCCAGCCATGGGTCGCAGCTCGAGCAGCTCGGATGACGACCGGGTGCGCCGGCGCCGTGACCGCCGCTCACCGGACCGTCACGCGCGCCACAAGAAGCGCTCCCGCCGCTCCCGCTCGCGCTCGCGTTCGCGGAGCGGCTCCCGGCCGCGTCACCGGCGGCGGCGCTCTGGCTCGCGCAGCCGCGACCGACGCGCGCGCCGAACGCGGCGCCGTTCGCGCTCGTCCAGCGGCGAGCGGCGCCGGCGGCCGCGACGGCGTGACTCGTCCTCGTCCTCGTCGGGCCGCTCGGCGCGCCGCTCGCGCACGGCGTCCAAGCAGGCGTCGCCGGCGCGGCCGAGCCCGCTGCCGCCGGTGCCGGCCGTGACGCTGCGCTCGGACGAACCGGCCGAGCGCGCTGCCGCCATCGCCGCCGTCGAGGATGACGGGTTTGTGCAGCACTCGTTCCTGTCAGGCAAGGCGCGCCGCGAGCCGGCCGAGCTGGGCCTGACGCAGGACGACCGCCAGACGCTGGCCAGCCTGGCTGCCAGCGGCGACAGCAAGCTCGACCTCAAGGACGTCTCCATTTGCCACCCCAAGCTGTCGGAGAATGCGCAGGAGAAGCTGGACCTCTGGGTGGCCAGGATTTTCGCCATGAGGCAGAAACTCTTACAGGCTGCATCCAGCACGCCATGACAGTTTGACTCTTGAAGACTTGAGTGTGTCGGTGCTGACGTTCGTTTCATCGGAGAGGCTAGCCAGCTCAGCACTCGCCAGTTCCAAGAGCTTTGGTGTTGCGCTGCTCGGCGTGAACGACCGTGGGAGACCGGACTGTAGAGCTGCATTCGGTCTTGGGCCGGGTGGTGAGACACCTGCGGTGGTCGGGACCGTGACATTGCCCTCTTCGATAGACTTTGCGGCGTCGCGGCATGAAGCGCTAAGGCCGTTTTGGTAGTCGTTTTACACTTGCTCATGCGTTGTGACTGCGTCGCTGCTGTGAAATAGATGGTTCTGTGTCATTGCATTCGCTATCCTCATAAACTCCGCTCATTGGAACGCGAGCGCAAGTGCGTTGGAAGGACGGACACGTACGTGGCTTTGCGTGCCGACTTGGAGGAAGCATTTTACCAAAGTCCGCATGGTAGCAAAAGCTGAGCCTTGTTGCTTGATCACTAAGCCCCTAGGCTGGCGGCCGACATACGATCGCTACCCGGAGCAGCAAGGAGTGGAGTAGCATTGAGGAACGCGTCCACCTTCTGTGTGTGATCGGTCACAGCCAAGCTGAGGGTTCCTGTATGTCTGTACACTGTTCGAGTCATCTGCACTACGGTCTGAGCTACGGGATAGCGGGGAAAGACTAGATGTGCCATTGACTGGATCTTGTTCAAGTCAACTCGATTTTTCAATCCTGCGGGTACTTCTTGGCGTACGCAGGAGCTGGGCGATCTCCGTGTGTGCTTAACGGGGTTCTGCGAGGACAGACTCTAAAACCTTCCCGGGGCTTGGACGTCAGATCACAGCACTGCAAGTGCATGCACGTTTTGGGACGCATTTGATAATCTTGTCAGGTGGTCGGGGACAAACTCAATGTCGTTGCTCCAAATTCAGTTGATTCAGCTTAGTTGTTGTTCATGTCATGTCAATGTTCAACCGCATTAAAATGTGATGGAATTCTGAGCGCCCTAATGTGGGGAAGTGGTCGGTGGTGCCTCCACTCTAGTCAACGTCACCTAACGTTTCCGCGGCGAAACTCCTGATACGCAACACAGGTATATTTACTTCACCGTTTTCAGTCAGGCCACGGAGATCATTTGGTAAACAAATTGCGATGGAATGTCATGATCAGTCAAATAAGCCTCGCTACACATTCACTAAAAGAGATGTAAAGCTATCTCATCATCTACGTACAACGCATAACAGTGATAGATTAGACCTGGTGTTAACGCTACAAATACACTAGCAACGCGAACGGTCTCAAGAAAGCGGGTGTGATGAATGGCACCAATCCAGGAGATTAAAATAGTACGCCGTGTGGACAATACAAGCGGTATTAAACGCCGATGGCGAGCATTATGACAATATTAAGCACCAACAACCGGCAGTTATCAGGACATGTCTGTGCGAGCGCCAACTATCAAGATTTGGAAGTCGATCTTCCTCGGCGTCAATCAAGCGGCATCCATCATTCGCCTTCCGTCATTCGATACGTGCACATATCGGCGGTATGTCTCCGACTAGAGATCATATTAAAATCACTCAAATTGCTAACAAATAGTCTTTAAGCCCTAAAAACAGTCTCCAATCGATCACCACTGCTAGCCTCTGCAACAAGTACGTGAACCTTACCGCCTCGAGATCGTCTCTAGCACCACCACATTCCACATCACCTATCCCCAAAACAGGCACCAGTAGCACACCAACGGGACGGAAACACCACTACGGCGGCCGGAGGAGCGCCGCGCCGTGGGCCGCCCCCCTACCCGGCCGCCCCTATCAGATCCTGGTCGCGCTCCTGGCGGCCCGCCGCGCCGCACGCACGTACATGCGCCGGTAGAAGTCCTCCATTTTGCTGTAGAAGGCCTGGCGCTGGGTCTGGCGCGGCGACGACGTCTCCACGAAGTCCTGCCACACCTGGGCCAGCGGCTCGCTGTGGGAAGGTGGCGCCGGTCGAGCCACACTGGAGAGTGAAGCGGATGTGGGGACCATTCGGAGGCGAGGCCCCGCAGCAGGGAAAATGACTGTGAAACATCTTTCATACGCTATGGTTGAAATGTCCGCTGAGTCGGAAACACCATCAAACGACTTATGAACTATGGTTTCGTATCCGTCATTTCCCTCCTATTACGACCAAGCTGCAAAAGGTAATGAACAAAAGTTGTGGTTACACGACTCGACAAGTAAGCGGGCAGTTCATACGGGATACACAGCATCTGCAGTTCATGTAATCCATACCCCGATCATCTCTGGCAGTACGCAACCCATGGCAACCTGACTTTTCAGTGGCAACGAAGACGCGCATCCCAGCTTTGAACATGCCACGTCGTTGACGAGTACCACACTTCTAGGGCCTGACACGCTAAACGTTTTACATGTGGTCACCTCCAGTTTGTATGTACAATGGATGACAACTCGAACGTTGACACACCAGTGCGCAAGACAACGGGCTCACCTGCTCTCTGACTCCGAGTCGGAATCTGGGGGTGGGGCGCAGGTCTTGTAGCCGCACACGTGACGCACGCCATCTGTCGTCACCTGGCAATGTCACAACACACCGTTCAATCAGACCAGATGTCGCTGGCAGTACATTCCAAACCCGATAGTAAAGGTAGCTACTGAGCGCACCGCACAGAAAAATCCAAGGGCTATGAAGAACCGCGTCCTTGGGATGTTCGTTGCCCCCAGGTGGGAAAACGAAGATGGTAATGGCAACCTGTCTCTCTCGTGGAAACCCCAGCACTTTAACGCACCACACGCGACCCGACGACCACGTCTATCTGCAGGAAGCCATCCGACGGTTCAACCAGTTGGTCGCTCAGCAACACCCGCACGTCTCTCCCCGGAGCCCTTCTCCCGTCCCATCCCTGGACGTCCGGCGGAGGCACGTACGGGACAGAAGCAGTCGCAGCAGTCGTGGTGGTAATGGCCGGGGTAATTCCGTCCGAAGTAGCGCTGGTACGCCTCGCAGACGGCGCAGTGGTGCCGCGTGTGGCGCGTGTGGCAGTGCGAACACCACTCTGCCCGCAAAAGGCCGGTAAGGACAGGACAGGCATGGATGTTCACTTACACTTGCAATAGAGACGTCAATGATACTGCTGTTCCACTCCAAGAAGCCCGTGGCCACAACAGACGTGTCTGACGTGGGCCCGAGAACACTGGTGGCGACTGCCTTGGGCCCCGGATAGCGCCCGGATCGCCAGATCGTGCGTGACACAGGGACCCGTGATCATGACCCTAACGAGCGGCACCGGTCACGGGGGATGAGGTGGTGAGAGTACGAGGCCTCCGACCCGCCTGCCGTGAGCCCCGGCACCGTTACCTGAGCGGTACGGCCGGCTGTCGTCCACGGACACGGTGAGCGGCTCCACGGAGCGCGAGCGGCCCGGCCGTCCCGTCACGCTCGAGGCCGACGCCACGCGCTCGGCGCTGGCGCTGCGCAACCGCGGCACGCTGGCCGCCCGCTGCGGGCAGGCGCAGTGGCAGTGGCGGCCGCGGCCGGAGCCGGCCGGCGGGCCCGGGCTGCGCCAGCGGCGGCGCGAGGTCCGGCCGGCCGGCGCCGCGCCCAGCTCGCGACCGATGAGCGTCGGCTCGGCGCGTCGCCAGCAGAAGGCCGGCCGCTCGCCGGGCCGCCGCGCGCGCGACGGCCGCGACGTCTGCGGGCACGGTTGGGTGAGAGGTGGACGGGCAGCAGCCATGGCCGGGTGAAAGGCGGACGGGCGGCGACCATCGCCGGGTGAGGCATGACATACACGGTGACCGGACCGACAACGAGAGAAGCCTGTGTTTGGCGGGGTTTGATATCACAGCACCGCATGATACTATCAGGTGTTGTGGCGAGGTATCGCGGCGGGTTTAGGAGGTTAAATCAGCGACACTGTCTGGCGGTGGGCCGCCTTGTGAGAGTTGAGGCCTACAGCCGCCGACATCGGAGGGCGGCAGGGCGCGGTGACGGTACCTTGGGCTGGCCGTCGGCGACGGAACGAACGGTAGCCGGTGGCGGCGGCAGGCTGGTCCGCACCTCCTTTACCGTCGTCTTCGTGGACACCTCCAGCCGGGGGGCCAGCGTGCCCTGCGCAGGAGAGGTCGGCAACAGTCAGCGCCGCCACCGCTGTCCGCAGGAGCTGGTAACTTACTGGCCGTTGAGCAGATGGCGCCGATGCTTCTTGAAACCAGTGGGCGGTGCATACTCAACATAGGAACATACAATGTAACAGAACACACCTAGCAGTGTGATGTAGACATTTTTTAATAGCTGGTGGAGCACTGACGAAGGAACTTTTGCACACTACCTGCATTTTGCACGGGACTTGCATCTTATTATGTAACGTACAAGGGAGAGCGTAACAAATTTTTTACGTGTTTTGGCCTTGTATACATGGTTCAATGCCTGGGCAGGCTCGTGTCGATGATCATCCACCTCACACCGATCACCATCCACCTCATCGCGTTTCGTTTCGTACGTACCACGAAGTTGACGGTGGGCTCCATAAGCAGGTCGAGGTCGGCGCCCGAGTACTGCGGCGTGCTGGTGATGTTGGGGAAGAGCAGCTCACGTGCTGACGTCTCGAACGTGGCGAGTACCGTGTCAGGCTTCTCTGCAAACCGCTGGATGAGCTCCATGTACACAATCTCGGCGTCCAGAATCTCGTCCAGGTCACTTAAGTGGAACACATGGCGGAACACCTGCCGGCACATGAATCACTTGGGCTCTAGAAAATGGCATCTGCATCACCAGAAGTATCACACACCGATCTGCTTGTGGTGGAACAGTAATTCAAACCACAAAAGATGAGATGTCTTTGTCTTTGCTGTCTTTTAGATGAGAACACCATATAATGGAAAATGTGGGAATGGTGACAACTGATGGTGAGCATTGAGAATAACTGGCATGGATAGGTGCATGCTCATACCAGAAGCAGATCTGAATATCCAAGCTGTGTAATAGCAAAATTATACTAATGGTGCAATAATCCCATATACAAGGTAATGCACGCTGATGTGTAGCACCTGCTGCCTACCTTTTCAATCACAAACTTTTCATAAAACATCATTGGAAAGACTGGTGCGGTTTCCTTTGTCCGGATGTAATTTCCGAGCAGACAAATGCTCAGGTAGACAGCCCCATTGCAGGGAATCCATACACCTGGACATGATACCTGCAGCAGAAATAGTGGGTGAGACAGCTGTTTACACTCTTGTGTGAGCAGCTGTGGAGCAACTGAATCACTTATGAACAGCAGATCACAGAAAAGCAACCAATGGTGTGACAAAACATCATCTAAACCATAGGCATATTCCTGCAGCAGGTGGGAAGGCTGAATCATGAAAACTGTTGACTTTAAACCTAAACAATCAAACAGGGTTCCGCCCAGATTTTTCCAACTCTCTTCTCAAAGTTGTAGGGGGAGGGGGGGGGGGGGGGTGGAGCCCAAGTTGGAGGGTGCTGAAGCCCCTCCAGCTGAATAAGAAACTACACTCTTGATCTGGGCATTGCATGATTATCAAAGGATGTGGTGAAACCAGCACAGCGATCATTTATTTGCAGATCAATGGAAACTAGAGGGGACCAGGAGCCAATAACTGATAACCCACTACAGAAATTTAGCGGTGACCCTATAACACCGGCTGGAAAATCTACTGGCTATCAGTCAGCCCATCCAACTTGGGAGAACCTCTAACACTATACCTGTCACATCAACACATTAAAGTGCATCTTGAAATACTGTTGTTGCACAAAAATGCCCAAACTAAAAATAAGTGATGCCACTGTATGACCCATACCACCTTCCACTAGATAGCTAGTGATAATTGATAACTACGGTGGCCAAAGTCATACAAAAGCTTTAAAAAACACCCAGAAGTGTAGTCATCTTCAGCTCTGACCTACAATCAGAAAAATCACAGCATTTCAGTCACTCTCCAATTCCAAGTGGGTTCCATGCTTCATATCATATCATGCCAAACAAGAAAGAATAAGGTCATGCAAAACATTTGATCTAGGCACATACCAATGACGTGCATCGCCATTAAAAACATTTAGTGTGTCCCACACCCGGAAGGATATGTTCCTCCAGATTAGCCTATTTAACCTCATCACACATGGGGATAGAATGAAAAGAACACAGAAATGCTTCGTACTTGCTGCCATTATTGGTAGGTCAATTCAGCGCGGATTTGTGGGCGTGGCTCGCGTCCCGCTACGGCTATTGCACCCTAAATGCACCGCACCCATGCGTGCGCGGCCAAACACTTGAAGTTGGAAAAGATGAGAAGTACGTACCGCTTGGATGTCAAGGAGAATTTCCAGCTTTTGGGATCGCCGTCTCATGCTGCCTGCACATCAGCGGGGCGTTCGGTTCGTTTTGATCATTCGTTGTCGGCGGCGAAGGACGTCGTCACAGCCCCGTCCCCGCCCTCAATGCTCCACGCTGCGAGCGGCCTGGCCCGCACGCTACTGGCGCACGATCCGGGTCGGATTTGGGCCGCACGCCGCACGCCAATGCCACACGCGGTGCTGTGTGTTTAATCGATGAGTTATCGATTGTTGCTAGGCGACAGAAAGCTCACAGCATGTCCCACCGGATAAAAGATATCCATCCAAACCTCGTTCCTTTATGGGTCCTCCCTCATTCCTGGAAACAAACAAATTTCCGGTTCATGGGTTTTCCCAGCGGCATGGATTGCCAAGACCCGATGTACCGCTTGGGGCATATGTGCAACGGCCGGGGCTTAGCCGCGCTTGCATTTCGAAGCATTGCTATTGGTCATACGGCCATGAATAGAAATGATTTGTCCCAGCTCAGCCGGCCGGTCCTTGAACAGAGGACCGGCCGGCTGCACTGGCATATTCATAGCAGTGGAAAGACGGAATCAGCCACCATACTGACCCGACAGAAGACAAAAAAGAAATAGGCATACTGGTGTACATGGATTCTGTGCTGCCGTCAACAACGCCGATCAACCAGACTTACCGAGCTCACTCGGACCCATCCGCATAATCGCCTGCACGCAAGAAACGAAGACAACTAATAAAACGTTTTGTATTTGACCTTGAAGCCCGTGCTAAACTAGAAACCCGGAACAACAAATGCCGGTATCACGTATGTTAATAGCTCACTGTTAACACCAAAGGAGAACAACCGACCCAACATCAGTGGCCCACATCAACGATTTCGATCAAATACAACCGAGTGGAACAGCGCGCGCCATCTAGCCTCGATAACATCCCAGCGGGGAACAGGTGGACCTGAGAGCGACAACTTATGGACTGCGTCCGTGCCAGCGTCTGAGAACTGCATGCATTGCACCAGGGGCAGCTAAGCGGTGTGACCCCTAACCAGCTACGCGGTGCGGTCGGCGACGGTTTGGCGCCGCCGGCCCCGGGCGGCCCCGGCGGGCGGAGGCCGGAGCCGCATCACGTGATCACGGTCGGCTCCTGGCGGCCGGTGTGCTCGCGCAGCTTGCTGACGGTGAGCGCGATGTCCAACAGCGGTCCCAGCGCCACCTGGCGGGGAGACGCCCGTCATGTGACAGTCACCATCGGCTGGCCGGCGCGGGCTGCGTGCCCCTGCCCGAGCACGCAAGCCGCTGCTGGGACCTGCACGCGCTCGCAGCGTCCTACTTCTGGGGTCGTGGGATCGGTACGTTCGTATTATGCCGGTTCCGTGCGTGCTGCACCCTGACGAAATCCCCGCCGGAACGTGGGGCAACTACAGGATGGCAAAAAATAAACGCATCCCTTTTCAAAAAGGTAACATTTGCGTTGTTACCTGTCTGTGCTCTACTCTCTCTCTATCTCTCTCTGTGTACTCATAACACTCAATACTCATGCATGTCAATTACCATGCATTCTGACCGAACGTTCCAAACTTTCTGGTACAGCTCAACACCGGTATGACTGGTTTAACCACACTCTTGCACAGAAGCTGAAAATGCCACGTGTGCGTCAATTTGTGAATTTGCGGAACACGACACAGGTAAACACATGTCATTCCCTTGATAAGAATAGACGTTTGTGAAGTTATATGCATACGTATATATGCAATATAGGCATATGTACGTATGCAAGTTACATATGCATACGACACATCATCTTTCTGACTATCATACCTTTCAGCAGGCAGACTGGTGGCGTGTTTTAAATGCGTTTCGCGTCTTCATGAATTTTAAGCATAATTGTGTAAATGCATATCATTAACAATTTCTTAAAGCAAGCTTGCGGATCGGTGCGCATCACATACTCACTTGTGATTCATATTTTCATATCAAAGATGGTTTGGTTTGGTTTGGATGATAAGTTTGGTTTAGCCGTTTCGGTCAGTACTGACTATTTCACGGCTATGGGATGAAGAATGGATAATGCTGGGGCAAAACGGTCTGCACCGGGAGGTCTCCCGCGCCGAGAATTAGGCCGCACAGGGGCCTCAATACAGGACATGCGTTCGGCGCCCGGACGGGCCCCCACCAGGAGGCACTCAAGCCCACTCTCGGCTGGCGCATGTGGCCTGCCCCGGACAAACGGGGTGTCGCGGCGATGCAGGCGAGAAAAAAAACGCGGATGATAAAAGACCGTTGTTGGTATGTTCTGGTATAGCTTGGTTTAACTTCCCGACGGCAAGACCAGCGGACTAACAAGCCTGCTGAGTGTGGCGATCCTTCACTCTACAGATCAGTCTTCGTCAGACGCTTTCTCTCACAATTATTCTCAGCCACTCTGGTTCCCTTGGGTTTCCTAACACAAGACTTCCAGCAGCACCAGCACACAGAGCACGGTGATTCACGACATCTCCGCAGCACTACCTCCCTGCTACGTGCGTACAATAGCACCGATCATCTCCAACGACCGGGCCCGGCGGCGGCGGCCGTCTCACCTGCGGGTCCACCTTGGTGTTCTCTCGCTCGTAGCTCTCGACGTAGAGGCGGACAGTGGCGCCGCTGCTGCCGGTGCCGCTCAGGCGGAACACCACCCGCGAGCCGTCGCTGAAGATCAGCCGGATCCCCTGTCCCGGAGAGCGCAGACGGTGTCACGGCGGCGTCCGACAGCGCTAGACGCCAGAACGCCATCTTACCAAAAGGTACGATGTAAGCAGGAATGATGTCGCCTAAGCTCAGAAAGATGCCAAAATTGGCGATAAATCATATCTACCCACGAAGTGAAGAGCAAAGTTAGCACAACAGTCGAACACTGAGCGCCTGAAATTTTCCGCAAAATTTTCATTTCCCAGACCAAATCTTGCATTCTGACACGCTGACGGCGTGGCAGCCATGCAAATGGCTGTCGGTCAGCTGCCAAGCGTAACGGGCCGTCAGAGGGGGGGGGGGGGGGGGAGGGGGCGGACAGCATGTGGGGCACGCAGCTGGTGCAGCACACCGGTAGTGGAGACAGTATCAGCAGACCCCACGGCACCCTCCCGGACAGCCCGTGTCCAGCGTCTACCGTGCGCCCGCGCCGATCTCTGGCGCCGGCGCCCGCCCGCACCTGGTTCTTGGTGACGCTCTGGTCGACGGGGTCGGTGTAGCAGAAGTTGTCCGCCTTGGCCACGGTGTAGCTCTTGCCGCCGCTGGAGAACTCGCGGCCGACCGTGGAGCTGTCGCTCACCAGCTGGTCCAGCTCGGAGTACATTTTCTCGCACGGCCCCGACTCGCAGTTCTCGTAGTCGTACCTGGCGGCCACGGTGCGGGTCAGGGTCGAGATGACAGCAACACTTCGCACGTTTAGTCCGGTGTTTGCGGCTGGGGAGCGCGGAGAAAATAGGACAAAGTGATGAAGACGGACACGAAGACGTAGCGCTACTGATCACTAGCCACAGACATGGCAATGCTGTGTTTCATCATCTATCGTTCTCGATCAGCTGTACTACTTGATTCGCGCAGAGATTTTGTCTCCGCCGCGGGATCAGTGGCAGCCTCAGTAAACTACTGCACCTGTATGCACCCTGAGCTATTATGAGACAACCGGAGCTTTGCTGTTAAACTCCCAGTTTCAGCGTGAGTGTCACATTTCAACGCCCACTGCGTTCTGCGCAATGTCGCTTGGCAATGTTAAAGGGAATGTTTCACATTTAAAGACATTGAATCAAACATCAGATATGATGAAACAAACCCACTTATAGCTGTTGATATACTTTTAAATACAAAAGACTCCCCTAGACCACGCAATTTCCCTGTTAAGAATTTGCTCCTCGATAGGTCATTGTTTGATCAAGTCATCGTACCTTGCGTATCATTGATTGAAAGCCAATTGACGGACACTATATTTGGAAATCGTGCCCACGAACGCAAGATATGAACGACTCGATCATTATAATTTTCTTGCCCTTGATGCCCACATTTCTTAGGAACCGGTAGGATTTGGATGACGTAATTATGACGTCATAAAGGCTACAATGACTGTAAGATACTCTCCCCCAAAAAGTCTCGCTATTTTTACAGGCGTGTAGCTTAGAAACTAGTGGGGGTAAGTCTCCAGAAAGACAAGACTGTGAACTGAATCGAAAGGTCTTCAAGATGGCTATTTCAGTTCAAAGCCCCACAGAAATGTGGAACACTCCTTTTAACGAACGCACCCACAGCGCACGGAGAGCCTGCATAGCACGCTGGTGTCCGTCTCGAGTACCTGGTGAAGAAGTTACGGCCGTACTCGTCCCAGTGCGCCTCCAGGATCTGCTGCACCGACTGCTGGCGCTGGGCGATGATGGAGAGCCAGGCTAGCGCCGCCCAGATGCCGTCCTTCTCGCGGATGTGGTTGGAGCCAGTGCCGAAGCTCTCCTCGCCGCACAGCGACAGCCGCCCGGCGTCCATCAGGTTGCCGAAGAACTTCCAGCCGGTCGGCACCTCGAACAGGTCGAGCTTCTTGGCGGCGGCCACCCTGTCGGGACGGAGCGGCGGCGAGTGCGGTCAGCGACGCCTCACAGAAAAGCCGTCCGTGACGGGAGCTTCGGGATCCTTTGTGGACCACCAGGGGGGGGGGGGGGGCGGGGGGGGGGAGACGAGGCTACCGGCTCGAAGGAGAGCCCACGGTGGTATCATCGGTGCCTTCCCTGCAGCGCAAAGTTCCCATCCTCACAGAGCACGGCAGTGTTGAGCTGGCCGCAGCCGTACCTGCCCGGGAGACAGCCGGTGACCCAGGGCTGAGCCAGCCTCCCTGCACCCGCCTGTCCAGGACACAGCCGGTGACCCACGGCCGAGCCAGCCCCCCTGCACCCGCCTGTCCAGGACACAGCCGGTGACCCACGGCCGAGCCAGCTCTCCTGCACCCACCTGTCCAGGACACAGCCGGTGACCCACGGCCGAGCCAGCTCCCCTGCACCCACCTGTCCAGGGCGCAGCCGGTGACCCACGGCCGAGCCAGCTCCCCTGCACCCACCTGTCCAGGACACAGCCGGTGACCCATGGCCGAGCCAGCTCTGCACCCACCTGTCCAGGGCGCAGCCGGTCGGCATGCTGCGCGCCAGGCCACGCACTCCCAGACGCTTGAAGTACGGGATGCAGTCCAGGTTGTTGGCGATCACGGCCAGCGAGTCAGACGGGTTTACGAAAAACGCCCCCTCGCCCAGGATCATGTTGCGGTCCTGCCAGGATGGCGACTAGTGAAGAACGGCCTTAGCGACGACCGTGGAGGTAACACCCTGCATGGTGGGACGCAGCTGGGAAATTGAGATGTCTTTGGCAAGGTGTACATGAGTTCACACAGTCATCTCAATCATCACATGTGCTCACATGGGTCGCCAGCTTGCCACTTGAGTAATTATGACAGTACACTACAGGCTTTCAATACTTTGGAGAACCCAGCCCCACAGCAGGTTTTCATGCTAAATTGATGTTATTTGTACATGGCATAATGTTACTACAACCCCAGTAGGCACAGACAAAACTATTTATTCTTGTAGCAGTTGGGAAAAGGGCCTATCTCCGGAACGGTCCAATGTCACGGCAGACAATTGGGAAACGGGCAGGCGCAGGGACCCACGGCACTCCCCGAGGCGAGACCGGACCCGAGGCGAGGCCGGACCCGGCCGACACTCACCCCGTCTCCGTCGAAGGCGGAGCCGAAGCCCTGGCCGCCCTGCTTGACGGCGTCGACCAGCGACTTGGCGTAGGTGAGGTTAGGGTCCGGGTGGATGCCACCAAAGTCGGGCAGCGGCTGGCTGTGCACCACCGACTCGTGCGGCGCGCCCAGCTCGTCGCAGAACACGCGCCGCGCGTACGGACCCGTCACTGGCGGCACGGGGCGCGCCCCTTTAGCATCAGAACGGCGGTGTGCAGCTGACAACGACACACTGCGGCATTCACACGGCTGAGCTGGGGATACAACACGGCATCCAGAGAAGGTCCACGCCCGAGAGGCGGGGTTTAGTGTAGGCGCTCTTTCGCAGGGCTCGCTTGCCGTTTCCCACGCCGCCACCACTGATGACGGTGACCCGACACTCCCCGTCAGACAGCGAGAGCCTGACGACCTCCAGTCGGGCAGCGAGCCCCAGACTGACCTCCGTTGAGGCAGTCGATGCGGATGCGGAGCGGCTCGTTGCCGTCCGAGCCGGTCAGCAGCCGGCGCACGGCGTCAAAGTCGAAGATCTGACGCAGCAGGTGCAGGTGGTCGTCCACCGAGTCCACCACGTCCACGATGTACAGCCGGCCGTCCACCTGACGTCGCGGTCGGCACGTCAGTACCGCCCATCCGTCACACGGGACCGGGTCACCGCGGCGCCCAGCCGACCACAACAGTCTGAACGTCCATAACACGACACACTGGCGGTTGTGTCGGCCACACTCGGAACAAGGCGCGAGTGGGGGGAGAGGGGGAGACGAACGTCCTCGGCCAGAGCACGCCTCGGCTCGTGACAGGCAGCCGTACCGAGTGGGATGTGGTGCCGATCGTCTCGATATCACAGCTGATGTCGGAAGCGATGCTGTAGGAGGAGATCTTGGTGGATATGTTGTAGATCTCCGTCGTCACCGACTCCGGCGCTGGCCCTGGCGGAATGCAGACACCGTGTCAGGACTGAACATGTCCAACTCTTCTTTTTTCTGCACATCCTGACAGAGGGTATTGTTTAGCATAAGGTGTGCGATGACACTGACAAAGCATGTCATGCGTACAGTGAGAGATCCCAGGTCGGCTGGAACAGCGCGCAGCTCCACTCGAGCCCTTCGAAGGCGTGACTCTCTCCGCCTCACCTCCGTTGGCGCAGTTGAACTTGATGCCGAAGTCGCCGTCGGGGCCGCCCGGGTTATGGCTGGCCGTCAGGATGATGCCGCCCATCGTCTGGTACTTGCGGATCAGGCAGGAGACGGCCGGCGTCGACAGCACGCCGTGCTGGCCGATGATCAGACGCTTCACCTGACAGGGGCGGCGGGCGGAGGCGTCAGGCCGGCACACCGGCCGAGAGCGCTGACCAGAGCTGCAGCCGACAAGTCGGCCACATGGCGCACACTGACGGGTCCATAACGCAAACCAGTCATGCTCACACACAACCGCCGGCAGCTGCATTGCTTAAACGGCCACGTCTCTGGGGCAAACGGCCACGCCTCTGGAGCAAACGGCAAGGTCTCTAGAGCAAACGGCCACGTCTCTGGTGCAGACGGCCACGTCTCTGGACTACGGAGCGAGTGCCGTCCGCATGTCATTGCTCACCCCGTTGGCGCCAGCCATCTTGACAATGATGTCGACCACCTCCTTGACGAGGTAGCGGCCGTCGCCGCCGACCACGAGCGTGCAGCCGTCAATCCTGTCGCCCAGTGCCGACAGCACGCTCTGGATAAAGTTCTCGGTGTAGTGCTCCTGCTGGAACACCTTGACCTTCTTCCGAAGGCCGCTGGTGCCAGGGCTTTTGACCCTCGAAGGGCGTGGTGTTGACCTTGGTGGACGTCACGCGACTCATGGCTGCTGTGACTTGCTCACCTGCTGACAGAAGTCTGAGCTGATGTGAAAACACAAATTGGAAATGCCATCTGAAATACAACTTCAGTGGCATAACAAAAATATTTTCCTTCATCATTATCATTGCTTTTTTTACCTACTTGTCTCATAGCAATGAGCTGTTGACATAAAGTTCATTTTTTAAGCATAATGAGCCACAAACAAATGCATTGGTGTTGTTGAGAAGTTTGTCTGAAATAAATAAAAACTGTAATTGGAAAATATTTTCAACTGTGTTTGGTGTATAAAATGCTATCCTCCCTGTCAGACATATCAGTCTGTTATTCTGGAATCCCTTGATGTTCTGTGCCCAGTTCAATGATTGATTAACTTGGCACCTAAGACTGATGTAGCTATCCCCCTCAATCATGCACTCAGGCAGTATTTTCTTCAGGGTGAGGATGTCTAGCTTTTTCTGAGCTCATGTGAAATTTACCAGAGTTTAGAAAAACCTCTAAGCTCAGGGGGGGGGGATATGTGGCCCCCTGTAACCCTCTCCCTTGGCCATATCCCAGTCTTTATTAAATATGCCAAGTTTTTGTAGCATATTGTGGATATCACAACCACTGACTTATTCCCTGATGGTTCCTTGCTGAAGCTGACATCCACTAAAAGATGTTGCATGTGTTTGCATCATATTGCTAAATGTTGGTTCTCAAAGCATTGGCATTGGTATATCCCCAGAATAGGATAGATTGTGCCAGAAATTTTTCATTGATGTGCCATAAATTTTGAAAATGTTAAGCTTAATATAAGATCAATGAGCAGCTGATAAGATTGATGTTCATTTAGCAATGGCTTGGTTACCATGATGACACATAAATGATATAGGGGACTGACTGACCAGACTGACACTTCATAGCTATATTATGCAAATGGTAATTTATCATGTTATCCCTAAAACAGCCTGATACCAAACTATGAAATGATCACATATAGCTACAGTGTGTCTGTACTTGGTACCCTCCACCTGCATCCCATGAGTTGATTCAGCTTATCTCGCATGTTTGATGTTGAGAAAAGCCAGCAGTATTTTGTGGGGTGTAACAATTTACGTTATATTAGTGCGACCGCAAACGGCAGCCACTGACGCTCCGCAATTACTGTCACAAAATAATCCTGGAATTACAAGAATTACACATTGACTTGCACCGGCCCACCACGGACATCTTATGACTCAGGAAATGTATACGTGGCTGTTTGCTTACGAACCTGGATCTACCCACCAAGCACGCCTTAGTACTGCCCACCGGTACTTGCCCTGCGAATTCTATTCACTTGTCTCCTCTTTGCACTCACACTTTGAACGAGGGCAGACCTTCAGCCAATATATGACAAAAAAGCGCCAGATCTGTAACACGCTCGGTGACCTTGAACAAGGTCGCGAAGGGATGAAAATTTGAGCAAATTTCTGCATATATATTCCGAACTGACATTTTACAGCTTTGCAAATAAAATCACTATGAATGATTTAGTATTCTTTTAGCTCACAGTTGCAATCGACCTATGCTCTTAAAAGGCCCTTGATCATTATCTGCTACTAAATCCAAACCGTCATGTAGTACTGGAAATGTCATCGCCCAGAGACCGCACATACAAAACCAGAGTCTGATAGCGTTCCGATAATTTTACCATTCCCCTCCCAGCCACGTGTAACCTGTGTTATCGAAACGTCCACAAAAAATGCTTTAGAATATCTTAAATGATTGAGCAATACCTTCATTTATTGGGCAAACATCCTGCGGCCTGCAGCACGCAGCATTTAGTACAACGTCGACGGGCGTTTGCAAACCAAGCGGCTGAACTGCTTGGGATAGAGCGTCGGTTTCGCAATAATCAAGCATAACTGATAAACGTTTCAGGCTTCCAGGTGAACGTGATGACTGTGAGCCATGTCCAGCTTTGTTCGCACAGTCAGCAGGCCGTTGTCGCTGTTGTAGATGACGTTGGAGGGGTCGACCGTGCTGTCATCGGCCATCACAACAGAGGGTGCTGCCGACACGCCGTAGAAGCTAATCTCCGCGATGTATGGTTGCTTCATCCACTGGGTGTTGGGAAACGTCACCTCGTATTCGAGTGTGCCATTCTTGAACTGGAAGATGGCGTGGTAGAACTGGCCGCTCTTGAACGTCCCGGTGGTCTCGCCGTCGTCCCAGAACATCATGCCGTGCGCGTCATCACCGAACACGGCCAGCGAGAACGGGTTGGCTCGACTGGCGGCCGTGGTCGTCTCGTTCTGCTGCATCGGCAAGATGGCGCCGGCTCGGCCGAACACCGGGATCATCTCGTCCATGCCGACGTCGTAGTGGACCGTACCGGATCGCGTAGCGTCACCGTAGGCGAGACCGCCGTCACGAAGGTCGAACCACGAGCCGGCCGGGAAGGTGACGCTGACGGCCGTCATGCTGTCCTCTTGCAGCACGGGCGCCACCATGACGGCGTCGCCCCACAGGAACTGTGTGTCGACGCCGCGCAGCACCGCGTCGCGCGGGAACTGGAACGCCAGCGGCCGCGTCACCGTCTCGCCCATCTCGGCGGCGCGCCAGAACAGCGTGTATAGGTAGGGCAGCAGGCGGTAACGCAGACCGAGCGCGTCGCGCGCCGCCGCAGCCACCGACGGCCAGACGGCCGGGTCCTGTGCCGGCGCGCCGGCCGTGTTGTGGTTCCGGCTGAACGGATAGAACGCGCCTAGCTGCGTCCAGCGCAGGCACAGCTGTTCGGTGGTGGCGCCATTGAAGCCGCAGATGTCGGCGCCGACGTGCGGCATCCCGAACATGCTGAACTCGAGGATGCCGACCACGGAACGCTTCATGTCTTTCCAGCGGGCCGTGTTGTCGCCCGTCCAGTGGGTGGCCCAGCGGCCGGCGCCGACGAACGTGCTTCGGCCAACGATCAGGCTGCGCCGGCCGGCCATCGTCGCCTCGACGGCCGCACGCGTGGCGCGCGCCTCGCTCCAGCCGTACAGGCTGTGCACGTCGTAGTGGAGGTAGTCCCGCGCCGCGCCGCCCAGGTCTGCGTCCTGCACGCTCGCCATGCAGATGGTGTGGTCGGCGAGCGTGCGGCTGGGGTTGGGCGCCGTGCGCACGAACTTGGTGGGGTACGGCGGGAAGTCGAGCGCCGTGCGCGGGCACTGCAGGCCCCCGCGCAGCGAGTTGTGGCTGACGCGACCGATGTTCGTGTCAAAGGCGGACGGCTCGTTCATGTCGATCCAGAAGCCGTCCGGCGCGCCGGCGGCCGCGCGGAACCGGCGGATCTCGTCCGTCCACCACTGCACCGTGCGGTTGGCCAGGAAGTTGGGGTAGAGCGTTGGGCTCTGTGGCCAGACGTGCGCCGCCACGTAGTCGCCACAGCCGGCGCACTGATCGTCCGGCACCAGCGACGCGTTCAGCCACTTGATAAACACGTCCTGCTGCACGCCGCGGTCGACGGGCGGGTACACGCCAAAGTCGGCGGCGATAGTCGGGTCGTAGATGAGCATGAAGCGCACGCCCTCCTCCTCGCGCAGCTGCTTGACGAGCGCCGGCAGCTCGCCGAAGTGGTCCGCGTCGATGGTGAAGTCGCGCTTGCCGTCCATGTAGTCGATGTCCGAGTACTGCACGTCCTGTGGGATCTGCGCCGCCTTCATGCGCGCGCGCGTGTCACGGATCTCCTGCACGTTCTTGTAGCCCCAGCGGCACAGCTGAAAGCCGAGCCCCCAGTAGGGCGGCATCACGGGCAGGCCGATGGTGCGGTGGTAGTGATGCAGCACTTCCAGCGGCGTCTCGCCGAAGAACAGGTACATGTCCAGGATGCCGCCTGTCGTCCGGTACGTCAGCGCCGGCGCGCCGTCCAGCAGGAACAGCTTGTACTCCATCGCGTTGCTGTTCAGGATCAGCACGCCGAAGCTGCGGCCCGTGTCATCCTCGATGCCCAAGAAGAACGGATGCACGCCGTACAGGTTCTCCGTGTCGTCGCCGGGCCCGTGGTCATGCGCGAACAGCGGCCAGGTCACGCCGGCCGCCAGGTCGTGGCGCAGGCTGTCGTGGTTGTTCTCGCCGAAGCCGTACAGGTCGGCGGCGCCCAGCAGGAAGGTGGCCTCGATGAACTGGTCGCTGTAGAGGAGCTCAGGCTGTGAGGTGAGCACGGGCCGGCCGCGGTGCGTCACCTGGACGGCGAACGGCTCGCCGGCGCGCGAGCTCATGTTGACGGCGTACTGGGGCTGGCGCGGCGCCTCAGTCGGCAGCGGGGGCACGTCCAGCACCACCGGCACCTCGTACCGCTCGGCGTCCGCGTCACGGTACTGCAACGGCGAGGGAGTGAGGCTGAACGGAGGCACAGAGCTGAGGAGTCAGAGGCACTGGGGGCAGGTCGGCGGGGAGGGAGACCGGACTCGGCGCGTTCAGTGTGGCTAGCAGGCGTGCATGGTAACGCTTGGAGAGCGCATGTGAGGGGGAAAAGCGTGCAACTTAGGAACGGGAAGCCGAGGGTGGATCGTAAAACAGAAGAACGGTTGTATCATAAGGAGTCGCAATATGGCATGATATGTGACACACATCGTTTCTTTATGTCCGCTTGTCGCGAACAGAGGAAAACAAATTCATGCACGCGCCCGAGCAACCAGCATTCCGTACTAATCGGGACCTTGGCCAACGCATGAATCGCATCACAGCACCCGATGTGACTCGTGCTCCGCTGTTCTGGCACAAATTAACGCCACTCGACCCCCATACCGAGCAATGTTTTTGTTTACTCAGCTGAAGTCCGACGTTTTTTCTCAGCCGCCGCAAACGGCTGATAAGGAGTCCGTCGCGGACAAGGTCACACCAAATGCAGAGCCCGTTCACGCCGTGTACGCGATCGTCACATGGCGGGCCGTTACACATGCCTGCCGTACCCACCACTAAGCTCGCTCGCTGCTCACCGCCAGACCCATCCTGTTGTCGTCGTACTCAGCGACCGTCACGCGGAGCCGCTCCACATCAGCCCCGAACATGGTGACGTTCTCCTTGCGGCTGAGCAGCGCCTCGTACCCCGTGCGGATCACGTGCGCCGGCTCCTCCACCTTGTAGCCGGTGCCCGCGCCAAGCCGGCACCGGCCGTCCTCCCAGACGCAGGCCGAGTACCGCTGGCAGGCGGCCTGGTCGGCCGAGTCGGGCCCGCCCGGCAGCGGACACTCGAGGGCGGCGGCCACTGCCGCCAGCAGCAGCAAGCACCAGACCAGACGGTGCATCGTCGCGCTCGGCAGTGGCTTGGGGAGGAGGTGACGAAAGGGGGTCGTCACGTTCAGCGGGGCCAGGTCAGGTCAGGTCAGTCGGGGTGGGTAAGGGTGGGCTTGTCACGCTCCGGTGGGATTCGGCGTGGATCGACCGAGGGAGGGCGGGAGCGTCGGCAGGCCCGGTGCGGCCGGGAGAGGGGCGCAGCGGCGAGTGGCGAGCCGCAGGGCGGCGGACGGCGTGGAGATAACAGCCGCGCTATCCGGCGCTCGGCCGGCGGCGCCACCAGCCGCCCTGCTCCCGCCGGGCGGCCGTCAGCTGACCTGCGACCAGCGGACGCAGCGGAAGCATGCCGCCGGCGGACAACAGCTGGGGCGTGCCGCCGGCGGACGCCGCGGAGGCGTGCCGCCGGCGGACAACAGCTGGGGCGTGCCGCCGGCAGACGCCGCGGAGACGTGCCGCCGGCGGACAACAGCTGGGGCGTGCCGCCGGCAGACAACAGCTGGGGCGTGCCGCCGGCAGACAAAAGCTGGGGCGTGCCGCCGGCGGACGCAGCGGAGGCATGCCGCCGGCGGGCGGACCCCGGGTCTGCGCCGGCGGTGCCTTATCGGGCCTCGGTGGCGCCTGTCGCACGTGAACTGGCCAGGTGTCGCGTCTTTGACCGGAATGTGTACGCACTAGGGGGGCAGATAGAGGTCGAGACCCTCGCATCCGACGTTCGCGCGTGCCAAGCGCTAGACCAGTACACATCCCACCACCGACGCGCGGTCCAAGCCGTGGTACTCGCCCGTCACGCCCCATCGAAACCGGAACAACACTGGGAGCGCCACATGAACGCGCGTCGGAGGTTTTCCAAGTATGGGAGACGGATGTGGAGCGTCATCCCGTGCTGTGAGTGACAGTTCCGGATTTACCCTCGAGTGAAGCCGGTGTCAGCCCCAGAAACAGGGTCAGTGCCTTTTAAGGATGGCTGGAATTCACGAGGGCGAAGAGATCGTGGCGCCCGTGGCGGCCGCGGCGGTCGTGGCGACTTGTCCGCACTTCACCCCTACGCCAGGGCACGGTCTTCTCGCGCCCGGTCCACCAACCCGCGCGTGTCGCCCCACGCTCCGTCGCAAGACGCCCCGCGCCAGCACGTGCACTATATTACCGTTTGTACATACGGACTCCTCCACTGCAAAAGATCCACATATCGTAGAGACCGGCAAACAGACAGGCGCGCACGAGACTCCGCGATATAACATAGCTGCCAATGACTGAACAAATGCACACACAGACGGGGCCGCGCGCTGGCGCCGCCCAGCCGAGAGGAACACGCGCGCGGTGAGATCGTGACGCCGCGCCGGAGCGGGCCGCGGTCCGGGAGAGGGCCTGAGGCCGAGGCCCCGACCCGACCGAGCCGCGCCTCCGAGCCGCGCACGAGGGCCGCACTCGGCGGCCACCGATACACACGCATTCACACGCACACGCAGGCACCCACAGGCGCGCACCGACTCAAACGTCAACAGACGGACAGGGGACGTCGCCTGCCTCTTCGCACAACGGTCACTTTTGGTAGCCTGAGATTACGGTTGTCCACGGCAGTCGGTCGGCCGGCGCCGGAGGGCCCGTCCCGCCGGCCCACGACATTCCGGGGCGCCCCTTGTCGCGAGCGTTACCGTGCGCCGACGGCCCGCCGCCGCGCACTCCTCCCGGCCTGGCCGCGGGCCCGACCGGTCCGGCCGCCGCCCTTCTGTCTGTAGGTAGGTGGGTGGCCGCCGCCGCTCACTGGCCGACTGCCGGCGACTTCTTGTCCGAGTCCTGCGAGTTGGGCGTGGAGGCCTGCGGCGGCGGCGGCCGCTCGCCGCTGGTCCAGCTGCCGCCGGACGTCAGCGGCGAGGAGGTGTAGTTGTTCTCGTCAGCGGCGGGCGCAGGGGCGGAGCCGGGGCCGGGCGCGGGTCCGCCACCGCCGCCGCCTCCGCCGCCGCCGCCTCCGCCACCACCACCGGCACCGCCGGCGCTCCCGCCGCTGCCTCCGCCGCTCCCTCCGCCACCTCCGCCGCCGCCTCCTCCGCCGGCGCCACCGCCGCTGTTCGGCTCCGACTGACTGTTCTCCAGTCGCGTGATGAGTCGCTCGTCTTCGTCCCCGAACTCGCCGCCCATCAGCGACGGCTCGCCCACCACCATCACATCCTGAGGCATCATCGTCATCATCGGACAGCGACCATCAGCGAAGGCCCGACCCATCAAGACCAGCAGCATCCCAGTCATCGTCATCGAGGGAATCAGTCATGACCGCCGGCCACCTGCCCCCTCATGAATCATAACGTCCTATCACGTCATCATCACCACTGCCAGTGATGCCGTGACCCCCGGCATACAGGAGGTGATGTACAGAGGCAACGAGGGATCAGCGTCCGGCTACCCATGACAGAAAACACGGACTTGCTATAAAAACTCAACTATGACCAAGAACGGAAAAGAAAACAAAAAGGCGCCCATCTAAGGCTAACCAAAATAAAGAGCAAAACCAGATAAGCGAAAGAACCTAACTAAAAACAGAACAGTGAATCCTCGCAAGCAACGCTCCATCACAACAAACCCAAGCCCCGAACAGAATAGAAAATCTCCGACACACGAGGTCGGAACGGTGCCGAGCCACGAGCGGGAGCCTTACACTGACTTGTCCGGCTAGGTTGAAGGGCGGTCGGCCCTTCTTGGTGGCGGCGGCTGCGCCTGCCGCGCCCGCCGCGCCCTTCCGTTTTCGCCGCTTGCTGGGCGGACGCTGATTCTCTGCGGGCCGGGGACGGGGGGCGTCAGCCGGGCTCCGGATGGGGGGACACGCGAGAAAAGAGGGGCTGGTGTCAGCGCGGCGACAGGGAGAGACGGCCAGTGTCTGGTTCGGTGGTGGAGGATGGTCAACGCGGATGGGGACGAGGTTCTTGGCTGTGGGATGAAAGCTGGCGGTACCGTTCTGGTCCGGTTCTGGGATCACTGTGCTCGGTGTACATGCTACCGTAGGTGACTTGGGCGCCGCACAAATTACGCAAAATTGAGTGGAATAAACGGACCGAGCAGCCCACGCCGGCACAAACCAGAGACAATATTGAATCAGATACAGATGATGTTAATTAAGTCGGTAATGCAGTTCAAATTAGCCCTCGTGGTTCCCCTGGTGCTCCCAGGCCAGGTCTCAGCAGTACCGACCGCCAGCATAGGCTGACGGCTGGGGTCTGAGTCTGGCCAAATCACAGTTCCACCGCGACACGCTAACCTGACGCACAACGACAGTTCGCGCGAGTCCATCGCGTTATTCCCCATGCGCGCGCGTAACAACGCAGCAACACACGGAAACAGCAAAACACAACAGGAATCGGTTCATGCAGAACGGCGAGTGCCACCGGCCCGGCTGTGCAGCCAGCAGTGTGGGCGGGGCCAGCTGCCGCTGCCGCTGCCGCTGCCGTGCAGCGCCGGCGCGCAGAGCTCCGCGTGCCCGTGCCTCCACCCATGCGGTTAGTGCCTGTGCCGAGCGCGTGGCAGCGCTTAGTAGCCCAACATACCTTCCGGTTTGCTATGGGGGTGGTTTGGCCCACCTAAACGGCGAAACACAAAAGAGCAAATCAATAAAGCGAAACAAAACGGCAACCAAAACCGCCGCATGAACACCCAGCAGCGGCCACATATGCGAGAGCGGTCCTAATACAGCCGGCGGCTGGCTCACTCGGTCGACCTCAAGCGGTCGTCACCACGGCCGCCTCTCGGGAGAGAGCGCCACCTCTGTCCGGCCCCACCTTACTCTGACCACATCACTGGTCGCTGCACACGGCCCGCACGCTGGCGGAGCCGAGGCCAGTAAATGGACAGTGGCCAGGCAAGCGACGCCACCAACAGGCACGTATGACAAGAAAATCGTAAAATGGCCCCACGGGCTTAGCGCCGGGGCCGTAGCAAATCGGCATGGAGATAAGATAAAACGAAGAAACAAAAGAAAACAAACAAAACATACGCAGGGATGGAGCCTTTCAATGCTCACCAATTTGGTCAGCGCCCGCCCATCACCCGGCTAGAGGCCTGCCACAGGGTTTCAAAAACGAAACGTGCGTATCTCGTTCTGCGGGTGACAGTGGCTGGTTTAATGTTGTCTTCTGTTTAGCCCCCCTGCCTGGCTATGGTGAGCATACAACCGCAAACCGTCACTCATCGCATAGCTGGATGAAAAGGATCATATCAGAAACAACACCAGTTAATCTCCAATGCACTGTATGGTTAAAAGCGTCATACTACTTCGTTCTCAGTCCTATTGTGCCTCTAATCCAATCCTAGGGATTGTTTGTTGCCGCGAGCACCTCACAGAGGCTGTGAGCCCTCCCGTAAATATAATATTTGATGGCTAAAGCGACGATCCTATTCCTTGATCACGTGCCGAGGGCCTGAGCAAGCTCCCTAGAAATGCTACTAACTACTCACTGGTCCTTGGGCACAGGCTTGGCCGCTGAGACCGCCACGAAAGTCGCCGAACGCGCAGATCAAATCGTTATGGAGAACTCCCGTTATGCAACGGCCGTGGCGAGACGCCGAATGATGTTCAAGTTCCAAATATTACCGCCAACACGCGGGCCATTCTCCAGATACAATATCGGTCCGAGTGGAGTTCACCAGATGACACACGCTCGACCTCCGCGGGGCCATTGATTAAAGCAAGACTTAGCATCTAGTGAGTTGAAGCTTGCGCCTTAGTAATACAAGCTTGGCACAAGACACAAACCTAAACAATCGTCTGATCGCCCTGAAACATGTGTTTAACTTGATAATATTCACACATTTCAATCTCTACACGCTCAGCCTTCCGGTAGCAAAACTGTTTGCGCTGTCTCGAAAACTTAATCAAGCATATTTCAACACCGGTCCGGCTACCTGGTGAAGCGGCCATCCGTGCTCTAAAGCCCCTTGAGACAGCTCTCAGCTAAACTGGCCGTTTGGTGTCGTTGACTATTAGAGCTCAGCACGTCGTCAACCCTCCACACGCCGCCTGTGTACAGCTGATTAGTCCGGGAAGCAAAGCATTAACGCTAGCCAGCGCGCGCCGCGTCTGCCCGCCTCGAAAACACTGGAGAGTAGATGACGCCATCTGGTGACAGTGCCAGACGCGCCAGCTCCGGCACAGACGAGTCTGGCTGGCGGTGCCAACTGTTTTGAGCTTTTATGTTACTAGCGCTGACATGAACCAAACTGCTTTCGGAAACCCCCGTTAATCCCCGGCAGGTGCGCGACGAGCCCCCAATACCGCACAACAACGATACATTTCCCGAAAGGGCCCGGGCGCCACTAACCGGCACCTCCATCGTCGCCAACCAGGTGGCGATACCTGAGCCAGTTTTCAAGCGAGGGGTTTTGGCGTAGCTGGCCCGCAAACCCCGGGGGAGAAAGGGGAGACGGCGCCGCCTCCCACCCTCTGCCCACCGACCTGGCGGAGCCACCATCCGCTGCCACTTCTGGAAGAGCGTGGTCTTGAGGCAGTCGCGCGGGCTGAGCGAGTACGCCTTGTGGCGCGTCATCAGCTCCTGCATCGGCTCCAGGATGACGCATAGCTGCCGGTGGAGCACAAGCGGCGTCAGCTGTTTCGACGACAGGACGACACACAGCAGTACTGCGCCCCGCCCCGCACTGCGAGGAGTCGCATGCGATGCACAACACTGGGTGAGCCGGCGCCAGACAACGCCCCCGCGGTTCACAGCCCGTCAGTCGACGACCGTCCGGCAGGCGAACGTCCACTGACCGCTCAAAGACAGGCGACCGTCCACTGACGGCCCATAGACAGGCGACCGTCCACTGACGGCCCATAGGCATGCGACTGTCCAGTGACGGCCCAGACGTAGGCGGCCATCCACTGACGGCCCACAGACAGGCGACCGTCCACTGATCGCTCACAGACAGGCGACCGTTCACTTGCCGTTCACAGGCAGGCGACCGTTCACTGACCGCTCATAGACAGGTGACCGTTCACTGACCGCTCACAGACACGCGACCGCCCACTGACGGTCCACAGACAAGCGACGGTCCGCTGATGGCCTACAGACGGGCGACCGTCCACTAACCCGCAGGTAGTTGAGCGTGACGTTGGTCAGGCCCTGGCGGGTGATGTTCTTGCCGAGCTGCTCGGCCAGGCCGGGGTCCTGCTGCGCGTGCAGCGCTAGCACCGAGCGCGGGATCAGCTCCTTGACGCCGCGCGTGGCGAAGTGCCACGACTTGATGCGCATCAGGTCGTCGAAGGTGAACTCGACGATGAAGCGGCCCTCGGTGCACACCTGAGCGGGAGGGAGGGGGGTGAGAGGGTGGGAGACCGCCGCAGATGGCGCGGTCGTCCGGCTTGGACAGTCCGTCCACACAGCCCGCCGCACAGCCGCCAGCAGAGGTCTGTGGCCGGCCTACAGCCCGGGCCACACCACGCCGGCAGCGTAGACAGGTGAGGCCGGCGGACGGACGACAGCGCGCGGCGAGCAGCGGCCCACGGCGCAGGCTATGCGAGAACGGCGGCGACTTCCTCCGGCGGGGCAAAGCCAGTGATCATCAGGGGACAGACTCAGCTAGCCGTTACTTTAAGCCAAAAGACCAGTCCTAACATGGACCCCAGCGTGTTCATAATCCATCAAAAGATGCCCGCAAAGTGCAGAAGAGCCCATAACAAAGTACCAGAATCTATTGCCTGCACAGACCGGATCAAGACAGTTCTTAGAGCACACCACATGTCATTCCTTGACTGACATCAGATGGCCGAAGTAATGGGTCAGCTTCACAGTGAGTCACGCCATCCAACACTTCACCGCGCACCATGTGGCGACTGCGCCCCGTCACCGCCAGAGGACGCCGGCGCGCGTCTCACCTTGGCCAGCAGCGGCTTGCCGTGGTGGGTAACCATGGTGGCCTGGTCGCAGTCGAGCGTGATGCTGGTGGTGTGGAACGACTCCTTGGGGTGGCGCAGGCTGAAGTACAGCTCCGTCACGCCGCCCTCGAAGATGCTCCGAAAGTAGCGCGGGATGAGCGTGCGGCCGATGGCTGCGGCGCAGGCGCGGTCAGCGGTCAGACGGCGGCGGACGCGCAGCACGCCAGCCAGCCCCGCACTCCGGTCCGCTGCTCCGGAGACCTGCTGACAGGCGCCCCGAGCGGTGGCGGACGCGCGGCACGCCAGCCAGCCAGCCCGCACTCTGGTCCGCTCCTCCAGAGACCTGCTGACAGGCGCCCCGAGCGGCGGCGGACGCGCTGCACGCCAGCCAGCCAGCCAGCCAGCCCCACACTCTGGTCCGCTCCTCCGGAGACCTGCTGATAGGCGCCCCGAGCGGCGGCGGACGCGCGGCACGCCAGCCAGCCAGCCCGCACTCTGGTCCGCTCCTTCGGAGACCTGCTGATAGGCGCCCCGAACGGCGGCCGCCCCAACCGGACGGCGGCCATTACCAGCGGAGGAGCTGACGCCCAGCACGTGACGAAGCTAGCGGCGGCTTTGCCGATGAGTGAGAGAAATCAGGAGAGGGTGCCCCGAGCACACTGGATCTAACCCAATTTCACAGGCGCACTGCCTGTCCAGTGCTGCTGACAACAGCGCATCGGCAAGGTAGGCCCGGCGAAGGCCTGTAGCCCGTCCCATGGCTAATGGACAAACGCTGGCAGCCGGCCGGCGCGCGACGTACTGTATCGTTTGGGTCCATCCTCCAAACAGAACGTGAGGGTGAGCGTGGCATCGTCCTCGAAGAACTCGGTGGCGAAGGCGTCCCACCACAGGCTGTCGCTGTCCTGAAACGGAAGACGTCAGAGTTACGCAATCGCTCGCACGCCCTGGTCCTGGAGCCCAGCAAGTCTCGTAGGTTGGAAATGTTGTTGTTACTTAGGACCTCGCGGAGAACGAAGTATCCCCTCGGGGAACGGGTGTGTTTGGTACTAAGAACACCGAAACGGCAAAACCCGGGCCAAATCCCAGCGCACAGACTGGCACGTCACGTACATATATACACTAGTACACGGGCAGAGGACAAAGCGGTGGCCACGACGACAGATACACCAGCGCGATCTGGAGACGACACCAGCCCAGATGGAGCCGACCAGTCCATACGCGACCAGTGCAGACCGCCGCAAAAGGCTCCGCACGTGCAGCGCGTGTGGAGCCGCCGGTCCGCGCCTCGTGCGGCTCCGAGCAGTCCGATGTCGGACGCGACCTGACCCGCTCAGCAGCGCGACGACCCGCAGACGCGCCACTCAGCGTGGCGGCGCGAGCCGGCCCGGCCGTTACCTCAGACTTCTGCTGTAGCCGCTTGTTCAGCTCGTGGATCCTGTAGTCGGGCTGGTTGAAGTAGGGCGTGTGTCGTCTGTAACCGAAGGACGGCCTCGCTTTACGAGTGTCAAACGCGCGGTGTCAGGAAGGTTTATATGCAAACGCGGCAAACGGGATGAGCGCAAACATGGTTTCCGTGGGAAAAGACTATGAATAGTAATGCTCGCATCGTAACCACACTCTCATGCTTCTTCATTTACAACGTTTCATACCCGTGGCCAACGAGCAATATCCGCGCCCCATGCAGTCGGGGTACCTTACGTGACACCGCATGATTCCGTTGCAGAGCGGATACAAATGGAATTCTCCCATCCCGGAGCTCTCACCATGCACATAAAGCCGATGTGACTACAGCGAATGACAAGGGATGGGACGCAGTAGCGAGAGCACGGTGAGGCACCGGACTCTCACGCGCCGGGACCCACAGAGGGCCAGACAGCTGGTCAGCTGACACGACCCGAGGTTAGTCGCGGCCGCCGCCACCGCCGCTACCACGTCACCACCCGGCCGATTCACCAGCCCGAGTCCCCCTCCCCCCGCCGCTGCCCGTCTGCTCACCCGTGGTCCATGCGGTCGGGCCCCATGTGTCCAGGGCCCATGTGGCCGGGCCCCATGGGGCCGCCGGGGCCGTGCATGGGGCCGCCCATGTGCTGCGGCCCGAACGGCGGCCCGCCGTGCGGCGGGAACGGTCCGCCGAAGGCCGGGTGGTGCGGTCCGTGCGGCGGCCCGAGCGGTGCGAACGGCCCGCCCATCGGCGGCCCGTGCAGCAGGCCGGCCGGCCCGCTGAACGCGCCCGGGTGCGGCCCCGGCGTCGACACGGCCGGGAACGCCGGCGGCCCGCTGGCCGGCGGCGTCGGGTACGGCGACGGGCCGCCGGCCGGCACCGGCGACGCCGCGAACGGCGTGCCCGGCGCCGGGTGGCCCGGGCTGGCGAAGTGCGGCGGCACGGCCGGCGGCGTGAAGCTGTTCTGCGAGTGCGGCGTGCCCGGCCCGGCCGGCACGAACTGCGGCCCGCCCAGGCCGGCGCCGTAACCGGGCGTGCCCGGGCCGGGGTGCACCGCCTCCGGCCCCGGCGCTGCCTTCCAGCCCAGGCCTGGATCCGAATCCAGGGTGGCGAGAGCGGCCAGCGCAGCCAGGGCTCACGGCGGGAGAGCACCTGCGGCAGGCACGCGACGGTGACGTCACACGTCCGACACGCGACACACGCTGCCACGGCTCGCAGACGGGGCTCGCGGTGGGAGAACATCCGCCAGACACGTGAGAGTGACGTCATACACAGGTTACAGGTAGAGCTGACGACGGGTCTCCCCATGAAGTACGTCACAATGATGTCACTAACCGTCAGGCCGAGTGGCGGAGAAGTCACGCACACCGACAACAACATCACAGTAACGAAAATGTAACTTACACTCGAATGATAAATTAGGTTATCAGGATTCAATAAAAGTTATATCAGGATTCCGACGGACTTAGAGACCGATTCGGATGGACGGGAAACTTCGGTAACCACAGCAATGCCCAGCCGCAGACGCCGCCTGCCAGCACGGCGAGAACCACCTGTTGGTTAAGTGCCACTGGTGAAGTCAAACCGATTATGTTGTTACGGAGGGTACAGAAATGAGCGGCAACTCCAACACGCATTTGTCACACAAAATTCTGGAACAACAGTAAAGCACCTGCAGGACAGCACAACTGCTAAAACAGATAAGCCATGAGCAGCCTTGCACGCTAGAAGAACAAGCCTCCCAGGCGGCTTCTCAGGGATTCACCAAGCGCCTTGACCTCGTGACAGCGCACGCCACACACTACACGGTGTCATGCTAGCGACCGGCGGGCGCGCGTGTAGCCGAACAGAAACCTCGACATGGTCCGTCAGCGCCACGTGCCGGCGGCGGGTCGGTGGTGCGCACCTCGGGAGCGATCAGCCCTCGCGCGGCGCTGCGGCCGGTCCCGCCCCTCCCCCGGCAGGGCCAGCCCGTAAGCCAGGTCAGCTCAGGTCACACTTGAGCGGGCGGCCGGCGCCACGCCGCCACTGCCGCTCACTGTGGCCGCGGCGACCGACGCGCTCGGTACGCGGCATCGCCAGATAAGTCGGGCCGCCCGGCACGGGAACGGCAGAAATCGATAGGTGCGCGTGAAGGTGGAGGCGACGCCGCACAGTGGGCCTGTCGTGGCCAGAACGTGGCCAAAATCGGTGTGTGGGTCAGGTCTTCCAGCGGAATTTCAAGCTGATCGAATGGGTTTATTCTACAGGTTATTTTGCAGGAGTTACCATGCTTACACGACAACGGGAAAATGGAGCAGGGCAGTCAAATAGAAGACAGAACACGAACATTTCCGGACGACAACCATGTTATGCATTTTCCTCCATGTAAATGTGCTTTCTCTTTTACCAATCCTCCAAAAAAGCCTGATTTTTAACAGAGAAGGTGTGGATGCTCGGTAGCTCGTGGCGAGACCCCTCTCTCCACAAGCGCCGACGAGACAGCTCACCTCTGTGAGGCGCTGAAAACCGTTCGCGTTCGTGCCCCACCTGTGACCCCTCGCGCAGCTAGGAAACCGTTCCACCGGTCCGAGGGCACACAGAGCGACAGCTCCGCACGCCCCCAGCTTAGCCCAGTCAAGCGAGCGGCCGGTCAACACGCAGCACTCGCTGTAGAAACAACTCAGAGAACTAACCCAACTTCCGCTGTTGGTAATGCTGCCATCGCATAACATTCAACATTAAATAATCCTCAGGCTATTGGCTAACATGAAGCACCGATGTCAGTGACACACACCAATTTTTGTTTAAACCTTTGACCAAGAGAATCGGTACGATCAGGCTTCGCTGGGTCACCTTACACGCCAGTGCAGTCAAATGACATATTGCATCCCTTTCAGGCACATGCTAGCACATGGCCAATGCAGTTTAGGCCGGGATTCCAAGCATCCAAAAGCGACAGCATGAATACTTCAGGACGTGCTCATGCTTTGTTTCATTTCATCACATCCAGTTACAAATATTATTGAATACAGTGATAAACAGACAGCCATGCTCAAAAGCAGAGAAGAGCATCTTTTATTAAGATCATTTCCCAAGCATACTCAGCTGCTGACAGCAGTGTGTCATGAAATACAAAATTGGCACATCTGAGCACAAGTGGGCTGGGTGATGCACCCAGGATTCGCAGCTTGTGACCCTTTCACTCTCATTTCTGTGATGAGTCAGTGAAATTTGTAAACTTGACTGCATGCAAAGCTGCAAAGTTGACTGCATCAACTTACGTCTCACGCATCGTAACTACCTGCCTAAAATTTCCATACAAGAATGAAGCTTGAATAAAACAAGGCAAACAAACCAAACAAATGAATAACTGGAAAAGGGGAACAGAATGTAGCTTCTCAAAAAAGCATCATCAACAAAATGATGGTGATTGCTGGTATGAGTTGTCACCTAATCACGCACATCTACCCATCATAAAAATGCCCAAGACAGACATTGACTATAATATGTAAAAATGACATCTGAAATCAGACAAAAGGCTAAAATTAGTGAAATGGACACAGATACAAGAAAAAAACCTAAAATCAAGAAATGTACTCAATGCTTTATAGGCATCCTATATCCTCCGAATATAAAACTAGCAGTTATTACTGTCCAATTAAAGCAAGCTGCTACCATTCACTGGTTACTTTTCAGAGCAATATTTTCATCAGAAAAGCTGCCACAAAGCGATACAGCAGTTACAGCAGTGCCTTGCAGCTCTTCTGCAACCATCTGTGCTTGTTGCTTAGTGTATCTATTTTGTGAGCATACTGATGAAATAATTCACACAATTAGAAAAGTGCAGCATGCCTAACAGCTAAGGCATGGGAAGTCACAGCTTTTGCATTGCTATTGCACACACAGCAATACAGATCTTCATAGGCATCCCATATGCCACTGCCCAAGGGTACAGGAGCTGGTTAGACAAGGTGGGGAGGGAGAGGCTAAGCCCAAACCCCTCGGAGAAGCCAGCATTGGCCTTATGGCCATTGACTACACAGAAATAACTGAAAACAGCTATCTGTCCTTCAGCTTTGCAAACTTCTATGCTACCTATGAGTACAGTAAAAGATGACTGATGAATGATATAAAATACCCATGACTAATTTTGATGTCATTTATGATAAAACAGTCAACTGAGTCCATGTTGTATGTTGTGACCATTGTCAGTGCTTGAAAACAGGGCACCAATTTTCAAAATTTTAACATCATACTTCTTTGGCATGATCTTAGCTTTGAAATACTGCTAAGAATAAGTATTTACCTTAATTAAACTCAGTGACCTGGGTACCAATATAATATAATTTTGCCAGATAATTGATAAGGGTACAATGAGTCAAGTCAACATGATGGTCACAACTATAAAAGATTGCTGTTTACCTTTCAATGCTAAGTATTTTTTTCATATGTAGCATGCCAAGGAAGGAGACCCAAAAGTTATGGCCTGCGCCTGAGTCAAGAGGTTTTTGCTAGACAATTGATGATTGGACCAAAAATTTGATCAAAATTCACAGGGCTGTGGGAACAATTTGGTATTTTGTCTTAATGAATTCATAAGTTGTGTCTGTAGCCTGCATACCTACCTGTCTCACAAGAAATGACAATTGTAACAAGATTGCAAAGCCAACAACCCAGACAAGACAATATGCCTAACAAGGTATAAAAAGAAGCGATAAATACATTTTCTTTGATGATGTGGGCCTGGGACCAAGCTGACTAGAAAGATCATATGGTCCCTACAGCAAATTTTATTTACACTTGAGAGTGTGCTGCATGATCCCATGGGGCTGTGCCTGCAAATAAATATTTCAGTCTTGCCTCCACTAATATGAACAGAAAATCCTGCTTAAAAAGAATAGTAAGCATTCAACAAATTTGACACAATTTGAACACTTGTCACCTCCATGTCATGTGCTGCATTGTCACACTATGGAATATCATAATGTGGTAATGAAAGTATGTCAAAGTGGCATCCACCTTCAAGAAGACATGTTCTACAGATTTCAAGCATACTACAATGAAAAGGTACAGCATAAGCCAAGAAACTGGGCAAAAAATGGGAAAAAGGGGAACAAGCTGAAACGTATTATCTTAAGACCTTTGCATAATTCATACTTGACAAGCACAATCTCCATGACCATGAGAGTTGAGTGCGTACCGACTCGGCTATCCGCAACGAATATGCCGTCTAGCGACAATCTAGCTTACGGGGTTTCGAGCCTTCGTGAGGCGACAAAAGGAGACGACTCAGGCCACACAGGCTCAAAATTCAACAGAAAAGTTGGATGATTATTCAATATTGATAACATGTCATAATAAGCAGTAGCGACCAACACTTATTACTTACTACGGATAAATTGCCGCCGCCGTTCGTGAAGATATGGTGGGTCATCGACCACTGAACTCTGAACAAGGCAATCGAAATACAAGGTTTTGTGTGACGAGTGCGTCTATTTCGCTGGTATGGGCGGCTGGAATCTCGTGCCCAGAATAACACCGAAATAATGAAACAAAATATTTATTAATCGGAGCTTCAACTGCGATTTTGTACCATTTTTTAATCACGTATCTGAAATCACAGCAGGAATTTTGAAAACCTGCAAATTTCTGTAATCCTATTCCATGCAAGTTATGGAAAATGCAGACAGCCCCATGCTCCGAAAGCACAAATGATATCAATAAAATACAGGCAGTG